AAACACATAAATTAAAACAACTGAGAAAAGGGAGAAAGCCGGAAGAAAATGCTTGAAACGTTTGCTGTTTAGAAATTTATTAGCCAAACAAAAGATTTATTAATGCGAAAATTGGCAGCATCAGCACACTGCAGTGTGTGTGTGTGTGTGTGTTGATCTATATTTGCCTTTGTTTCATGCGGTGCCACACACAGACAAATAAAGCTTAAGCTGCATGCAACAGACAGGCAGACAGACAAAGAGCAAGAGAGAGAAATGAGCAAAGTAATGTGCAAAGGGAAGCAAAAATTGACATCGAACCCCACCTGGAAAATCCCACTCGACATCCGACACACACACACACACACACACACAGAACAAATGCACTTGCATTGATTAGTTTACCTAATTTGCTGGTGGGTTTACTTTTGACCCAGACCCAACCACCCATCCGATGGCGATGCGATGGCGATGCTCGGCTCGATGTTGCATTTAAGTGGATCCCCAATTTGGGTCCAAAATTTTACCCACAGTGCGCTGCAGCGATTACCTCTCTCACACTCACACTCTCACGAGCGAGAGGCTCTCGCTAAGTGGCTTGGGTGTATGTGTTAATTGCATTGGGGCTTTGGGCGGGCTGGTTTGGCACCCAAAAACAAGTGTGGATTCACTTGCCATAATGCATTCAAAGTGGACGTACACACACACAGACGCTGCGTATGAGTAATCTGTCAGCCTGAGCCATAAACTTAATTTTTAGTCAGCTACCCAGTAATAATTCTTAGCTCCGAACTCCGCACTGTTTGCTTAAGTTTTGCACAGATTGGCATGCGAATAAATGACTGGGAATATTTCTGGAAACTTATATATACAGACACCTTGTACCTACTATATAAATTGGTTGGGCAAACTTTGCTAGCTACCTGAGAGATGATTAAGTGTATGCAATTTATTAACAGATCAAAGTTTATGGCAGTCTTGTGTGTGGGCAATGGGGGAGAGTATCTTCTGATTTATGATGTGCCATCAAAGGAGCCACGCGCCAAGGCACTGTGGGTGGCTAAACGGCCCCCAAGAAAGCCAACAATTTCCAGCAAATATTCTCCAAATTCGTACACATCTAATTTAGGTTTATTTATAATTTTGTTTTGGTTTCAGTTTATCGTTTTGGGAGCTTGCTTATTTTCGCTGTGGAGCAATGTCGAAAGTTTCAATTGAAGATTAAACTTTCAACTGTCTTTTCCACTTTTCCCGATTAACTTTCCATAGTACGCGGAACGACGACAACGAAGGCTGATGGCGAGTGACACGCTGCCAGACTCAGATGCTGACGTAATCGAGTGCTTTCTCTCACAAAATTTTTGGCAAGTTTTTCTTGCCTTCCTTTTCCTGGGCATGGGGCTGCCACTCAATTGCTGTTTAAAGTGCTTCCCAACAACAATTTTGGAACTGTGATGTGGAACAAACACGGCCGCTGCCGCTGCTGCCGCTACTGCTCCTGCTGCTGTTGCAACTGGCCATTCGTGCTACAGAAAATAGTATATAAACCTGTGATTTTTATAGCCGACTTTATTTTTCGCTATTTGCTATTGCCCGGCTCGGCCTTTTGCAGCCGTGCTGGGGCCCCGTGTTCGCCAAGGCGTTGAAGGGGCGGCAACATTTGCTTTTATAGACTTTTTCGCTGCCCGGTGTAATAGTTTCCGTTTCCACTTGGGGTATCCCCTTACCCATAGCTTGACTGTGCGACCCTTCACATATTATTTTCGGCTTGAAAACAAAGCAAAAAATCACTTGCGATGGTCGCAGACGGAGTATGTTCTGTGTGTGTGTGTGTGTGTGTTAAAAAGCTATAAACCGAAGAAATGAAGAGCTTTGCTTTGCTTTCTCATGTCTAAAATTTTGGATACATTTGCAATAAGAAATATATAACTTAGTTGAGCAATAGTTGTGCCCAGGAATCAATTTCCCAACCGAAGAAATACATTTCCACAGCTTAAACACACAAAGTGTAGCATACATTTTGGGGCAGCAGGGAGCAGCCAGCATCTTGTTTGTGGTGGAAAACAAGCAGTAGAGGAGCAAAAGCATTCATTAAGAATGTGGGGAAAGTGTTTCTGTGTGCTCCAGCTTAAGCTTTTAAAAGCAACAGTGAAGCCTCCACTCAACGCCACTCCACACGGAGCCGCTGACAGACTGAGAAACTGCCAGAAATCGGAGTGACGATGGGGGGGAGAAAACTATTTTGACTAGACTACATCATGATGAGAGCTGCACGTGCCAGGGGCATGGACATCGCATGAACATGGCCCACACACACACACATACATCCCGATGTAGTAGATGTTTTTATAGATGTTAAGATAAACATCTCGGGGGCCAGGACTTCAGCAAATGAAAGGGGCCTTGCCGCCGCCTGCTGGGGGCAACAGACATTAATTCAGAGCTCGAAAAGAGTAGCTAAAAAATGGGGTGTAGTGCCCCACCACACGCACACGCACACACACTCAGACGCTAGGCAATACAATAAAAATTTGTTGTACAGCAGCAGCACACTTTAATGGGAAAATTCTCTGCCTGTGCCTGTGCCGCTGCCTTGAGCCGACTCCTCTCGTACAACGTACGTACGTATTACGTATACGTAATCTGTTGTGTAATGTCTTTAGTTGTGTCAACTTCGAGGAGAGGCCAATCCCAGTACCCCGGACCAAAAACTGATTCAGAGAGAGTGCGAAAAAAGAATCCACAGCCAGAGCCAGAGAGAAAGGGAACTAAACAGAGCCATGAGGCGGCAGTAGCCGTAGAGCAGCAGAGAACGAGTGGAGCCCTGAGAGGAGGCGCACAAGTTGAAGTTTTGAAACAACATTTAGATAAATTTCCCCCGAGACCCGCAGACCCACAGACCCCCAGGATAGATGAATGGATGGATGGATGGCTATGGCTGGCTGACTGGATGGGCATAGCGGAGAGAATGATGTAGTGCCACAAGCTGTAGCAAATTTACTTTTATACATAGTTAGTCCCCTAGTAAATGGTGTAAACTACTTTGAATAAGTATCAGTCTAGTCTCAAAATTGAATTGAGGGGAACGGAACAAGGTTTTTACTCTTAGAAATGAAATGAAATCACCCTCCAGGCAATTACAATAATTGAATGCTCGCAGAGTCCCTCCCACATTCAGGCATCAGATCAATGGGTAATGAGATGACAAATAAACTGCTGTTGACTGGTGACTGGTGCCAAATAAACTTTCAAATGCCATTTAATTTACATTACTAACGGCTGCCACAACACCTCTTCTCCCAGTGCCCCCTCTGTCACTTCCTGTAAAGTATTCAACTCCAGCTCCAGTCGCCTGGAATAAGTGAGTGCTGCTCAATTTGGTCGCTCAACTATGTACTTGGTGGTTTCGTCATTAAGCCATTAAAGGGTTCAGGAGACCCCCGCTGCTGCTGCTGCTGCTGCTGCTGTTTCCTGTTTTAATGGCAGCACCAACCGAAAATTGAGCAACATTTGTGGGCAAGTTTCTGCCCAACCCCCCAAGAGAAAGTTTCACCTCCTCTAAAATGTCAAGTCATTAATATTCACATGAAGGCAGAACCAAACCAAACCTAACCGAAAGCTGTGTGTTCTCAACAGCAATTCCAGACGAATAATATTTAATTAGAGAATTGTTTAGACAAACTTTTTAATTACAAGGCCCCGAAGGCGGCCCCTCCACTCTTCTGAGTTCTATCATTTTTTGGGTTTGGTTCCACCCGCATAAATCTTTCAACTCCCGAGGCTTACGGCAAACCAAAAAAAAAATATTATTAGAGCACACCAGTCGGACCCGGACCCTTCATCAGGATGCAGGCTGCTGCTGCTGCTCTAAGCCTTTAAAACGGCTGCCAGTTTGGATGCTGCCTCTTTCTCTCTCTCACTCTCTCTTTTTCTGAGTAGCCCGTCAGCTGCATAAATTTCGAAAAGCGAGGGCCACGTTAAAGTCAACATTGTGTGCTGCCAGTGGCCTACATTCGGCAGAGGGAGGGAGGGATGGCTCGGAGTGTACTTTCAGCATTACTGCCTCCGCCTTTCACTTTCGGTGACAGTTTTGCAGCGTTGCATGGCCCCACATGTGGCCGTGTGAGTGTGTGTGAGTGTGCGTGCTTATGCAGATGAGTTGCCAGTAACGTGTGGAAAATTATGAAGATAAATTTGTGTTTGTCTTTTTTTTGTGCTCCCTCGTTTTGGCGCAAAAGACAGAGCGAGCGTCAGTCGTGTGCCACTTTGGCGGCGCCGCCAGCTGCTGCCGACACGAACAAAAAATCTATGAAAAATTACCCAAGTAAATCAAAAGTGAAATACGTATGGAAGGGGAAAGTTCTTCAAGAGAAGATTGCGACCAATTTAAAGTTAAGTTAGCTATTGAAAAGGGTTCGACAGTAACCGCAGGAGGAGATAGACCCCTCTTTAAATACTTGTTCCAAAACTAAAGTGGTAACCCATTGAAATCTGTGTACTGGCAATGGAGTGGAGGTGCGTCTGGTTTCCCTAATTAATTGACAAGTATTGGAGATGTTTCGAGGGTGTGGTAGAAGGAGTTATTTGCCGCATTGAATACAAATTGCAGGACCAATTGGCCCTGGGGCCAATGCCAATTCCCGGGTTGGCCAACTAAGCCGGCAAATGGCGAAACTTGAGATAATTAATTGAGCGCAAAACTAAACACGAATTTCGAACCCGGCCAAAAGCAATTATCTACAATCACAATACACATACTCGTATGTGCTGGAGGGCACACACTTACACACACACAAAGAGAAAGGATAGAGAGAGAGTGAAGAGATAGCGAGGGGCAGGCATAGTAAATCACTTGGCATTTAGCAATCGACGAAAATAAATCGATTCTCTATTAACAGACACATTAAAAACCCTCGATTGCCTTTTTTTTCATTTCAGATAAACCCCAAGCCTCTCTGGACTCGATACGATTCGAAAGAAGAGACAGATGTTGCCATTCGCAACGGAGGAGCACACAAAGAGCAGAAATCACATTAGATGCAAACTGCCTGTCGAAATGAACAAAAGTCCGAACACCAAAAAGAAATATTAAATAAAAACAATTTATGAACAACTAGCGCCATAAAATTGCCCATAAAACAACAGGGAGAAATCAAACCAAAACCGTCCGCAAATATCCAAAAAATATATATAAATAAAACGAAGAAAAGAGCAGGAGTGAGCGTAAAACTATTATTTGACAAACTGTCAGCGTGGAAGAGCTCAGTCGAAGGTGAAATTTGTGAACGTTTGCGAAATTCTCGAGTGAAATCTCTGCTCTGCTCTGCTGTTTATGCCCGGCGTTGCGTATACGCCGCGTTGCCTGTTCCGCTGTTTCAGCAGTATACGGAGATACTCCGCAACTCGCGGGCGGAGGTGTTAAATGCGTTCACATATCTCTGGTGCGGCCCGGGCCGCCTTCTGCACTCCATCACCACCAACAGCCACATCCGCCGTCATCCGCCAGTGAAAGTGCCGAGCTGTGCATTATTTCCGCGTAAGTGAACATTTTTGCCCCCGAGGGAGGAAGAGAGCCCCCCATCCGAGTGTGTTGACTCTGCCGCTGAACGGCATGCGCCTGTGGAGGAATCGAAGTCGCAGCAAAATGCATACCCTCGAAACGGGCCCCTGGTCCGTCCATGGGCCACAGTTGACGCAGCTGCTCCTTGGCGGCATACTCTGCATGACAATTGGTGAGTATTTCCTTTAAATTAAAGACTAAAAACGAAAGAAATACATCCATACCCCAGGGAAGCTATCGCCAATTAGCGACTCAATGGCTCAATATCTCAATATCCGCTTGTGCAAGCAATGCCAAAGGCTGAACAGCAGCAGCCAATACCATACGATATGTGGGTGATGGGTGGTGGGTGGTGGAACGGTGTGGCATGGAAAAGTTGCACGACATTTGCTCTTCAGCTTGGGGGGGGTGGGGCTCAATTGCAGTTGCATACATTAAAAATGAATGAGTGCCTGGCTGGAACAGATGTTGCCCGATGCCCCAGGATATACCCACCTCAGAGGCCTGGCCTCCTCCTGCTCATCCTCCTCCTTCTCCTGTGAAGCAATTTACAAATTTACAACTGCCAGCGACAACAATTATGATCTGTGTGTGTCTGGATCTGTGTGTGTGTGTCCGCGTCCTGGTAATTGCTCTGAAGGAGCAGCACCAGCAGCAGTAGCAGCAGCAAAAAAAGTACAGAAAAAACTGTGCAAATAAAAACGGTGAGGAAAATGATTTCAATGAACTGCATAAAGTGGTTTTGTTAACACACGCGGACAACAGTCCGGATTCCATTTCCACTCTTCTTTAATTTGTTGCAATTGTTGGGAATTCTGCGGCACTTGATGTCAAAACAGAATCACTCACTTAGCCGTTGGGCATGAATGGATGATGCCCACCTGAAAGACTCTTATTAAATGTATGGACATTGGTCTGCCCCAATAAAGCTTACAATTTTAAAATTTTTATGCAGTCTCTGCCTCTGTCGCTGTTGCTGTCCCTGTGGCTGTGGCTGACGTTGATCGGCAAGCACACACTCGTATGTGTCTGACATCCACACGTACATATCACTGACTGACATACACACCGAAGTGAAGAAACAATAGAGGGCAAAAAATAAATACGATTTATGCTGGCATTTTCATACAAATTCAATTCTTTTGTGGAGGAATGCTCTGGCACACAATGAGAGAGGCAGAATTTAAATCAGAATTTCATCCATTATTGGGGATTTATTTAAAGGCAGATGCTGTTTGTCCATATACAGAATCAATTAATTAAAGCCGATAGATATTATCTTGGGACATGCTCTGATTTGGTGGCATTTCTTGTTGAAAAGCCATTCATCTGCTCTGTCATTTCGTTGGAAGTAAGACATAAAATTGAATTTTCGCATGATTTCCCTTATTGCTGTCATAAGAAGCTATTAGCGTACTTACGGCTGTCGACCCGAAGGCCTCAGGCTCACAAATGGGGCACCGCCGTGCTAGCAGAGCGGAAACCTAAGTAGAAACCACCAAGAAAAATAAGAAGAAAACGAAACGAAACGAAAGGAAAAACTGGGGAAAAAGCCAAACATGAAAAGCATAATTCACAGAGTGCTGCAAAATGTGGAATTGTAAATGATCGGGCAATGCCACAGCACAGCACGGCACGGCACGGCACTGTACAGTGCGAGTGGAAGCCAAGGCAAAGGCAGTGCAAAACTGGAGTATGAAAAGGGAAAACTTTATGTTGGAAAATGATGAGAAGAATGGGGGGGGAAGGTAAGGGTGTGAAGTATGCTAGGAGAAGCCATTAAAAATTCTGTAAAATTCTCCGTACAGCTTGGCTATTTGTATGGTATAGAAAAACTTGGCCACACACACACACACAGCTGAAGCTGCAGCTGCAGTTAGCGCCCATAGGTATGCTATAATATTTTCAACATTCTTAAACTTTATTGAATTTCCCTCTCTCTTTATCTCACTCTCTCTGTCTCTTACTTCATTGCTCTTCCTCGGTGCGACCGACTTTTGAGTGTAAGATTGATTTATTTTCCATTTGCTGTGCTTTGCTTTTCCTCTATTCTCCACACTTTTCATAACTTTTGCTGGAAATTTGTTAGCATTTAAAAATGATTTGCAGCTGTGCAAAAAGAAAACAGAAGAAAGGAAAAAGAATATAAGTTGTCCGTTCATTTGCCTTAAAGTGTGGTATAAATCCATGGACCCGCACTTTGCCACTATCCTCAGCTTGTGGTTTAATGTGCACTGCACATACACACATACATACATACAAACATATATGCCCCACTTTTTGCCACTTTCCACGCTCTGCTCTTCTTAACGGAACGGATCTGTGCATATATATAAATTATGGCAATAAAAATAAAATCAACAGCGTTGGGCTGTGCCTTTGGTTTCTGGTTTTAGTTTTCTCCTCGGGCGAAAACTTTTCACTTTCCTTTTTTTTCGCCCATTTTCCTGCCGGGGACATTATTTTTGTGCTTTCATTTTCGTCTGTTTTGTCTGCTTGATTTTATTGCAGTTCGCTTCTCGGTTGTGCTACTTCTCTTTTTTTGCAGCTCCTCCGAAGTGATTCTGGTCCTTCTTTTTTTTTGTTTTCTTTTCTCTGAACTGCTCTTCTTTTTTCTCTGCACCATAGTGTTCTTCCTTTTTTTTGCTCTCTGCAAATAAATATCACAAAAATTCACTTCCCTTTCCGTCAGGGATTTTCTGGAATTTTTCTTCGCTTTTCTTCTTTTTTTTCTGTTGGTTGTTGCCTTTTGCTACTTTTGGGCTGCATTTTGTTTTGGTTTATCCGCTGCCGCGTATTTTCCCACGACTCCCCACAAAACAATGAAATGAAAAATTATGGCCAACTCCCCGCGAAACCTCGCCCCACCCTAACCCGCTTTTCTGCTTCTGCCTTCTGTTGGTTGCGTGTGTAAATGTGTTTCTGCCATCAATTTTTATTGCCAGCTGAGTGTATCAATAAATTATACATAACATTTTGTATGGCAAGGCAAAAGCAGTGCGAATGGGTGGGCAGTGTAAAGTGCAGTTGCCACGCCCCAAATGCCTTAAATGGAGCCATTGAATTGATTTTGTGACCGTTAAATGCATTCGGATTTAGCCAATTTCTCCACTTTGACTGCCACTTTCCTTCTTTCTCTTTCGCTGTTTCTCTTTCTCTTGCTGACTTCCTGTCTTTCTCTCTGTCTTTCTGTCGGAACATTTGATGGATGGCCAAGCAATTTATATTTAATAAGCTTACCAAAAAGGCAAATCAATGCCCAAGTGCTTTTGCTCTCTCTGGCCAGAAAATTGGCAAAAGCTAATTGTCAGCATTTGAGCTACGACAACTCGATTCAAGAGAGGTTCCCAGACAACTCATTCAGGAGTTGGGATGGAAATCCCCGCCACCCCCCTAGAACAGACAGGCAGAAACATTAATCTTCTGATCCACTGACACACACATGAGGCATGATGTGTCCTGCCTCAATCATTTCCCTACTCAGCTGCTGTTGCTGGCAAAAAGGAAGGGAAAACAACAAGGAAAATCAATATATTCTATATCAATATTAATGGACTTTCAGTTACCCACAATCCACGAACACACACAGACATAGAGAGAGGGGGCTACAGGACTACACAGACAGGGATAAAAAAGTGTTGACAGCTGCTTTTATTCACCTGTCAGGCACACAAGCCGCTAAACTGTTGATAAGCAGGCGGCCAACAGCGTGTCATACATGTGGCCCAGACCCAAACCACCCTAGAACCATGGACCAGGTCCTGCAGAACAGCAAACCCCAAAGAAGGGGCACGACAGCCCTGAGCAATAAAAATCCATCACAATCATTTATCAATACAGGGCAAGTCCTGTGGGTGTTGCTCGCTTCTCCGTTTGGTGCGGGAGAGTGTGTCTAAAGAAATATGGAAATATCAAATAGTCATGTAGCAGAGCTAAGAGAAAATATGTCAACTGTCCGAAAAGGAAACTTTTGTGAGGGCTGCCCGTAAACACCATCAACAGCAGCAGCAGAAGCAGCAGCAACTCGGACACAGATACTGGACGAAGTCTGGAGAGAGCCGAGTCCTGGCGATTTTTTCACTGTTGGGACCTGCTGCTTGTCACAGTGCATAAATGTCAAAAAGTTCGAGCGATGATAAATGACATCAAGCGGCAGTCGCCAATGGTTTAATTTGGTCATGAAATAAAAGTCGTCAAAAACGCAGACTAGAGAGATCGAAGCGATGGAGCCAAATGGCAAAGAAAATCTATCAAAGGAAAATCTATACATAGAAAAGAAGTGGTTCCAGGAAACTTAAGAGATCTATGAATAGAAAAACACACCAAAATTGGCAAGAACTTCCCTCAAAAGACTTATCTGGTTTGGCAAATTAAATATTTTAATTAAATTTCATCTCGACTGTCTCGCTGTTGGTGTCATCTGATGGATCTTTAGCATAAGCTGAAAATATAATTCAATATCAATTTCCATTCCTGCGCCCGAGACTGCAGCTGACAGTTCAATTCCAATTTTCCCACCCCTTCCCCCTTATTTTTTTTGGCCAAGTGTCTCTTGCGCGACTTTTTGCAAGGCAAATGAGAGTTGTGCCAAGTGCCACGCCCAGTAACCCAGTATCTGAAACACAGACACCCCGCCCACCCATTCAGACAGAGACACAAACGGATGAAGATAGAGTGGGAGAGGCAGAGAGAGGGAGAGAAAGAGACAGAGCAGAGGCTCTCAAACAATATCTGATAAGCTGCATCATACATTTGCATACTTCCGGCAATTTGTTTTTGTGCGAGCCAAACGAATCGAGACAAATGCAATAAGCGCACAGCAACAGCAACAAGAACAGCAGAATGTGACACAAAAAATGGATTGGAAACAGCACAACAAGGTAACGAATTGATTGGTACCCCTTAGATGAAAAATGAAGTACAAAAATACGCTACAGATATTGTGCAGAAATTAATCTTTGTGAAAGCGCTCACCTGAGATGACAGCATATCTCCATGAGAGCAATATAATGCTGATAGCCGATAGCCTGAACAAATTTAAGTTAAATATATTTTATTAGGGCATATTCTAGCAACAGAAAAATCTCCAAAGTGCTCTGGCGCAGATCAGCAAATTTCCTACAACATTTTTCTCCTTCTCCAATCCTGCACCAACTTCTTCACTACTCTCGCATACCCTCCCCTCCATTTAGGGTATTAAAACACAAAGAACATGGCGAATAAAGATAAAACCGAAAGAGTTCACTGGCGCATGCTGCTCAATTCGGATTCAGTCGTTGGCTGGGAGTGTGAGGATGTGAATCTGCAGGCGGAGGCGGAGACGACTGAGGCTGTTCGCATTGTGCATACAAATTACGGCGACGCTACAGTATTGTTCCCCAAAAATACACCACCCCCCTACAGAACTGCAGCCCCATGCCCCTCATGCATTTGTTTATTTAGGTGCATCGTCTGCGACTCTCTGCTGCAAGTTGTTTGCCATTTGCTCTGCGGCGCACTGCTCTGTGCGTCTTTTGCATGGCCAAAAATATTGGTGGCCATAAATATTTCTGGCAACATGAAACACAACACAAAAGTGACGAAAAAAAAACAACCTGAAGCTGGACCGGGACCGGGAAGTATAAAGAGGGCACTGAAGCGGAAAGCGCTGCATTTGTAGTCACAAATTCCCAGGCATTTGTTTAGAAACTTTGCCCGCAGCGGCAGCAGTCCCGTCCCGTCCCGTCGCGACCCGTTTCGCGATGTAATGTCATCCGTGGATACGGGACCAGAGAGCTCTGCCACTTGACTAAGTTTTGAGCTCAACAAAACGAACTTTGGCCAGAGATAGATGTGGGTAATGGTTCGGTTCGGTGCTGTTTCTTTTTTTTCGTTTCTATGTAAATACGAGAATTCATGTCCATAAATTGGCATCATCGTTCAGGGAGATCAGAGTCAAACGGCAGAGTCTCTGTGCTTTTCAATTCAGAATTCAAACACACTGCCAAGGGAGCAGACACACACTTTGGGGGAATCGGAATACATATTTTACATGCGGGAAAAGTAATACAAAAAGAAACAAGAGGCCAAGATGAGTATGACGGAGATGTTGCGTGGCAAGAAGAAGCCGGAGGAGAAGGTGAATGCCATAAAGATGGCACTTCATGGTAGGTAAACGGAATACCAGATAATACACGATATATAGCCATGAATATCCATAGATTTCTCTAGTGTGCGGCTCATACAAATTGGCTGTGTAATTGATGTGGTGGCCGAGTCGATAGAACGCGTTAAGATCTCAATGATATTGCCGAAACTCTTGGATAATCCCACTTTTATGGCCAAGATCCTCCGGGGCACCAAATACGAGCATGCTGTCAATCTAGTCGATTCCTTTGTGCGTCGCCGTGAATTCATACTGAAGGAGAAACGTCCTCCCCTGATGGACCATGGCATGATCAAGATCATCGACTACTTCCAGCGGAACAATCAGATGTACAAGCTGTTCCCCACGTACTACAACAATATGAGGGAGGACGAGAAGAAGCTGCTGGTGGCCTTCGAGATGCTCTTCGATTTGGCCAAAGAGCGTTTGTATCGCACATCGGCGGATGTCATTGCCCAGGAGCGGAAGCTGCATGCCATGTATCTGGAGAATGAGACCATCAAAACTAATGTTGATATCCTCAAGAAGAAAATCCACTCGCAGAAGATGACACTCAAGTGGAAAATGGCCGCCAAGGAGGCGTATCTCAAGAAGTATGAGGACATGTTGGCCAAGAAAAAGCGCGAGAAAAACGAACGAATACAAAATGAAATGTGAGGGCAGCTCCGATCAAGATATCTGTATCAGTAACTTACAGATCTCTGTCTATCTATCCCCCAGTGACAAGTGCACTCGGATCGTAAAGAAGAATCAAAAGGCAAGCCTGGAAAAGCAGTTGGAGCTCGAGGCAGAGCTGGAGAAAGATCGCCATATCTATGAGCAGACAACCAAACAGAATCGAGCTATGGAGATGGAGGCACGCGAGGAAAAGTGAGTGTCGCACGCATAGATCTTGGCCTTAATAACCCCCGATCCTCTTGCGCCAGAAACAAACTTCTGCTCCAACTTCAAGGCCTCATCAAGAAGTACGATCACAGTATACGCGACAAAATGGTCGAGAACTTGGATCTCAGCGATCAATATACCAAAGCCAAAAAGGAGCTGGACGCCTTTCTAGTCGGGCATCGCCAGATTGAGCGGGTGTACAAGGAGGTGGTGGTGAAGCGCGAGGACCAGGAGCGTCGCGCTCGCCAGAATCGCATCATGAACTTTACAATGAATCGTGCGGCCTCCAAGATACAAAAGTACTGGAAAAAATGGAAGAAGGCCCTACAGAAGAAAGAAAAACAACTCAAGCGCAGCAAGAAAAAATAACTCGCAAATTATTCGTTTCTGAAAATTTAAAAAATATTTAATAAGTTGAAATTTTGAAAAGTTTAGAACCGAAATACACGAGATATTTGGCAATCATTGTAATATTTGCCGTCAACCTCAACCCTGGAATTCTGTGGGATTGCTAAAAATTTAATTATCTTCAAACTGGCAACCCTCCAGGCACATTATCTGTACGGCGGCACTCTGAAATCTCCAAAGACTTTGCAAATGGAATAGTTTTGGCTTTCATTTTGCCCTAATTGAAATTCATTCAGCCACTAACTGATTTCGGGGCACCAGGCCCGTGGTCCTAGGGATTGGCTTATTAGAGGAAAAAACTAATTTCACTTTTAATCTGCAGACTCTAAAACCACTTTCCTTGCCCACTGCTATTCTGCTATTCTGGTCCCTATCTCTCCATTGGGTGTCATTTGCATTCAAAATTTGTGTGTGTGAGAGAGAGAGAGAGAGAGAGAGAGAAGTTGCCTTTCCAGTTTTTGGTGTTATATTTTTCGACCATTTTTCCTGCACATTTTTGTTGTTGTTGGTTGCTGTGTGGAAAATGCATAGAAAAGGGAATTTTAAGCACATTGTGCCAGCAGGAGAATGAGTGTGTACTATGAGGGCTAAGTGCAGTCAAGTCAAAGCCGAAAACGGGCGGCCAAAATTCGCCAGAGAATTTTGTGGCATCATGCAGGGTGGCAGCAGGGGGGCAGCAGGGGGGCAGCAGGGGGCAGCAGTAACCATGCAACCATTGGACCATCGAAACGAACGAACGAATACTCGTACGGTCGGGGTCGGTATATGCAAATTACGCGCAAATGCTCATGCTCTGTCATGAATTGTCACCCATTTTCCAACTGAGATGCTTCGACACGCTTCGCCCCCAAAAACCAGGCGGCGGCGGCATGGAGACCACAAAAGAGCGAGGGCATCACATCACCCATACGCCTCGTTGCCCCGCTGGTTGCCCGCCACTGACTTTCCGCCTGACAGCAGGCCACATGAATATATCTGCTGCTAATATCAGGTTTCCTTCCTGTTCTCTCTCCCACCCCCCACCATTCTTCTCTCTCTCTCTCTCTCTATCAGCGCTCTGCCCTACCGTAGCCAAATGGTTTCGAATTGCTAATTTTATCAGCCCGTGTGCACAGACACACATGTGTTCCAGGACATTCTCTTTTTTTTTTGGGTGCATCCTTCTATAGAAACATTCTATCCTAGCCTATCCCATGGCTGGGAGGACATTCGTTATCGCAGATCTACGCTGGCATTTTATTGTTGACCATTTCGGCTTTTCGGGGGGCCATAAAGATTGATAATTATTTCGGACTAATATTGTCAGCCGTAAAAATTGATATGAAATGCGGCGGCGGGAAAATATTTTATGGTCCAGCCTCACAGAGGAAACTCTTTCCTCTCTGCAATGTACATAAAACGTTCATAATATCGAATGGAGGGAGGAGTGGGGGGAATCCAATGAATATATACAACAACAATTGAAATAATGGCAGGCAACTCTGAATCCTATCACAGGACAACGACTCTCATCCTTTGCTACTCGACAGCGCAAGACCACAGTGCCGGAATTGCCTTCAGTCTCTGTTTTCTATCTATGAGAATCTCTATTTCCATCTCTCTCTCTCTCTCTCTCTCTCTCTCTCTGTCTGTCTGTCACTCTGTGTGTTTGTGTGCCCTTTGTCCTGACGATTTAATCGCAGTAATGGAAATGTCGTTTTTTATTAGAGATTTTCATTTGGTGCATATACTACGTCCATTACATACATGTATACGTATGGGGGAAAAGTCCATTCCTATTCGAAGTATTTGCCGTTTCAATTGTTATATTTATTGTGCCACTGTTCCTGTCGATGATTGCAATCGAAAACAAAAACGAAATACCATCCACAGATTTGCATTTTTTTTCCCTTGAATACTCTTTACGGAAAAAGGGGTCTTTGCATATTTGAGAATGCTGATTGGATATTAGAGAATGGAATGCAATACCATTTGGATCTGGTGAGGAATACGCAGAGATTTTTCTGCTGAAATGTAATTATTATATCACAGTCCCAATCTTTTCATTCATCTAAATGTGATTCAAATCCGCAATTCTGATAGAAAGAGTATCCAATCCTCAATCAATGCTAATCTACACTTCCTATTTTGTTTTCATTTTGTGTCCTGTCAACCATTTGACATTGTGTACGAGTGCGATCCCTGCTAGGGTGTTTCTGTGTGTGTGGGGGGGCCTCTATCTATTGTGTAGGTTGACGCTGTTTTACAGTTGCCTGCATTTGTCATTCAAGTAAATCTCGTTGAGAGTATAACTGATTTCAATATTCATTAAATTAAGTGTTTGCCATTGATTCAATTGTGTCTGCGCTTAAAACGTTGCATGATGGATAGCCGAAAGAAGGCCTTAACCATCACTAACCATCGTTGATATTCATATCCTTTCACTGTGGCTGCTATGAATACTTGGCATTCAAATGTTTTTTTTTCGTGCATGGTGGAATGCACGCACACACACACACACTTACACTAACAGAAATATGCCAAAAATCCCCTTGACTAGAATGTGCGCCCTGTGGCCTGTCATGGCCGGTGCATTGCATGGAATCCCCGGCATGGCACTGGCAATGCTACTGGAACCCCCCAGCACCACAGCACCCCAGCGCCCCAGCGAAAGAGAGTGCATACTGAAACCCCGCTTTATGTCTGGTTAAGGGTAAAGTATAGTAGAGCTGAGGCTTTTCTTTTATTCGCTGGCAAACAATTGCTGGGGGAAATATGTACTTGCGGCTATGCTGTGGAGAAAAGTGAGACAAAAACGCCAGGCTCTTCTAGCCATGAGAACGAGGGGAATGAAGGTGGCTCTATAATGGCATGGCAAGCCGTGGAGATGCAGGAAGCCGGAAGCAGCCAGACGGCGTTCCATTTTCTAAGGCTTTTCTTTCGGCTCTTTCTCGGGTTTGGGGGTGGAGGGTTAGCGAGAAGAAAAGCAAACAACTTTAGCTCCAAACATCACAATATTTTTGGTATAGGGGACCGGCGGGGTGAGGACAAAAGCCCCAAGAGCCCCGCCGAAACCGATTCATGAGTGCCGGAAATGCTTTATGAGTTTGGGGCAATGTTTCCTCCGTCGGCCATAAAAAGCGGGCGAACGCCAGGCCAAATTGAAATCTCACTTTGCCTCGTGCGCGGAAAGTTCTTCACAGTTCTTCACAGTTCTGTGGCTGGCCAACACAAAAAAAAATAATATCATACGTACAAATATATATATGTATGTATGTATATGATATACAGTGGAACTAGTTCTTTTGGCTATTCAAAAAGATGCTTGCCAAAAAAAAACCAAAGGAGGCGAAATAAAAGAAAAGGGAAATGAAAGGCAAAAAGGCGAAAGGAAAGAAGCTGTGCAGCCGCCAAAATGGCGGCGCGTTGCCTGCCTGCAACATCTCTAACTGCTCATAATTTATGCTAACGGCAATTTAAACTTCAGCTGTTATTTATTAAAGTCCTGCCTGCCAGCCTGCCAGTCTGCCAGTCTCCTGCCTCCATGGTCATTGTAAGCTGCGCTTTCAATGGGGGAAATTCTAGCGAAACCCAGAAACCAAAAAGAAAGCCCGCACAGTGGGGCACAGTGTGCTCATTCCCCTCTCTTTAGCACATAATCAAATATGTAGCCCCCCCTTCTTTCATATCGTAATACCCATAATCGTAATCAAGTGAGGAAGTCGCACATAAATGTTATTTTTAGGGCAAATTTTCTGCACTTCCTGTTTCACTGTTTTTGGCTGCCAAAAAGTGACCCAATTCTGCAGGGGGGCTCGCTCGGTCTCTGCCGTTGGCTGTCTGCCGGTTTCACTTGTTTGTTTGCCCAGTGCCACAGGAGTAGACGGGGAGATAGAGCGAGAGAGTGCCATCAAATTGTTGCCAGTGGCACACTGCCGCACAGCAAGAGCAAGGTGCAGCAGGATCTGGCTCGTTTCGTGTAGGGAGCGAGTGTCGCCGCCGCCTGCCGTCGAGTTAAGTGTTTTATATTTTCGTTTAGCAGCTGAAAGTTGCATCCTTTACTCGGCCTGACTCGGCCTGACTCTGCACTTGGTTCTGGCGCGGGTACCGGCTCGGGTTCTGGCTCTGGCTCTGGTCCTGGTTCTGGCTTCGTCCTTATTCTGCATCCATTCTCTGGCACTAACTGCTGCTGCTGGCTGCTGGCTGCGTTGTTTTTATGCAAAAGTTAAAAGGCACCAGCCAGCAGCAGCAGCCACACAAACAAACACAGAGATAGGTTTGTACTGGCAGGGCGAGCGAAAGAAGAGGCGTTGACGCTTTTACCTACAGCTTAAAGCACTTTGAACCAGGCTGAGATTCGAGAGTTTTTATTGGTAAATTGCACAGATTGCGACAAAGTGATATTAATCTGCCAAAAGATACAAGAACTATAATGGAATCTATATATATTCAGGGCTTATCATTTGTTATTCATGCCTCCCCGTGGAGCGATTCAATTTAAAATTTAATTTAACTTCATTTGCGACCTGCGACACAATTACGTTTATTATTCATGCAAAACGTGTTTAGGATGCGCCACATTTTGCACATGCATCTTATGCCACCTCAGCCCCATCCGCCATCGGTGGCAACATCATTAGATGGCATTACAGAGAGGCAACATAAAAAAAGGCATCACAGATGGAAAAAGCCAGTGCAAAATATACATACAGCCATAGGTATACTCGTATAAAATAAAAAGTGGGCGGCGCAAATGAAATTTTACCTGCTATCAACAAATTGCGCTACTTTGCAGGTTAACTGCAGCGGAACAGACGTGGGGCGCACCGCCAACGTCAGACAGCAGCACCACCACCAGCCGAAGCCAGTTGTTGTTGTTGCAGTGGCAACAACTCCACTTGATGTGCATGACTTGCAACAAAGCGAGAGGAGTCTCCCTCTCTCGCTCTCATCATCTGTGGTATGGTGTGGTGTGGTGTGGCAAGGGAAGTGCAGTTGATTGCTGACTCCTGGTGGGGAGTGAGGTGTTCAGGGGTTATGTTCTTTGGTTTAAGGATAAGTTAAGCCCCCGGACTAGAGCCAAAGAGAAGCTGTTAAAAGCACTGAGGTTACGACGTGTTGGAATTTTTATGCGTTTTAAAGTATTTGCCAGGGAAGTGCAAATCCCACCCCCCCCACCACCCATCCTATGTTCAGTGTCCGTAGAACTGTATTAAGCGAAGCAAAAAAAAAAAAAACAAACTAAGTTATGCGACAGGGCAGAGAGTTACGTACATTGCTGCGGAGCCCATAACAACTTAGCACGTACGTGGACGTGTAAGTCTATGTGTGTGTGTGTGTGTGTGTGTGTGGAGATAGGTCGTAATGATGTGGGTGGCTTGAATGACACGTTGCGGAAGTTGTGGCTTAGTTTTGTATGGGTGGCCGACAGTTTATGTCTGCGAGCTTAGCTCAAAAATACGCCAACTTGTTTGCTCAAAAGGCATAAAACATAAAAAATAAAAAAACACACACATATACATCCCACGCACAGCACTTACATTTTCCCCTCTCACTTCATGGATAGAGAGAGAGAGAGAGAGAGATGCATGGAATTTTTTACGAGTATTTTGCCATTACCACATCATAAAATCCTTTCTTTTTTGTGTCCAACTAATGATGGATGAACCATAGCTGGCTTCCACAGGTAGTGGAAAGCCCCCGGAAATATTTCAAGCTGTTTCCACTCTGTGCTCCCACTCTATTTTCCTTAAATGTCTATATTGGGTGTGTGTGGGTGGGTTGGTGTAGATTACATTAATTACACACCACCACACAGTTGCTGAGCCGGGAACGGTATTTCCACACATCCATACACACACTAGCACTTATTGTATGAGGAATTTTTAGTTAAACAAATTGCGAAAATTCTGATTCCGCACGAATAAGCCATCTCCATTCCCATTGAATCCGCAGGGCATTTTTTTAATCTAACTAATTGCTATGCTGCTCGTGAAATTATTGTATTATGAAATTAGTTGGCAATTTTTTCATAATTCATTTGTGATTTGCGTTAAGCATAATCATAAATAATGTATGGAAATTCAGTACGGAAAATTAGGTAATTGAGAGCTGATCCGATCCCCTTATGCACTTTTACACAAAATATTTAATACCCGCTACGTTTGGGGCATGAGCACACAAACGATGCGCTATTTATTATCGATACCAATTAGTACTATAGCCGAGATGCTAAGTTGCCTTTGCATTTCTCAACATGGACTTTTCCAAGTAGGGGTCCATCAACATCAATGCCGCCACCAAATAAATCAAATTTCTAGGCACCAGGTCCATGTTCTTCGAAGGTTTCTGCTCCAGATGCCTTTAGCTTTAACGAACTTTTGACGACTTGGTTTCAAATTGAAATGCTAAAGTGTTTTTGTGTCTTCTTATATAGGAACACTGGAGGAGTGTAGCCAATTTTATTTTTCATGAATTTCCAATCAATTAGGTAAGCTTTTCCGATCACAAATTGACACACCATGCCGAGATAAAGATTTTAAGGACTTCTAGGTTGTTATGTAATCCAATTACATGTACAGATCCATTTCCTACAATCAATGCCACAAAACAAGTGGAACCAAAATATAGATGCATTTTCTTTAAAATGCTTAGCTTTTGATTTCTTCAGCTATGAATACTTTTGGAACGTACTTTTGTCGTGCTGACAACATATTTATTATATTAAATATTATTATATTATCTCATTAGTGTAACCAAACTTATTTTTAATGAATTTGCAACTGATTGGGCAAGCTTTTCCGATGATAAAATGAAAACACCATGCCGAGATAAGAAAAGATTTAAAGGGCTTCTTTGGTTTATATTATTTATTTAGGCGGAGATGCATTATTGGACATTATTGGGCCTACAATCAATGCCACAATCTATCTACAATCTGTCTAGCTTCGACTACTGTCCAGCTTTCGATCTTTCTTCGTATTAGATCTGGCTCAAAGGTGTTCCATGCATTATATGCATGGCATCCATCGTTGGGTGTAACTAAAGTACAAAGAAAATTCCTCTCAGAGATGATATAACAGACCTCAAAATATTTTGTAAAAATCAATAACCGTGTCAAAACGTTCTGTGAAATAATCAGAAAACTAATTACACAACCTGTCAATCGAATCAATTAGTCAATCGAATTTTCCGCTAAAAATCAAATTAGAGCTGCTAGAGGGGAAAAAATTAGTTATGAAATTATTGTAATTGTAAATTTCAATTAGTATTAGTCCAAAAAACAAAAGAATTTTTTATAAAATTCTGTTCAAAATTTTTTGAACTCTATTTTGATGGGTCCACGGGTCTGTAAATGTCAAACCGACAAATGCAACTGAAACGACCACAAAAAGCATTTGTCAATGGCGAGCACCGATGCTTACAGTTGCGGTCATCTCTGACAGTTTTAGTTTAGTTTATCCGCCAAAAATATATATCTAATCTAACAGCATAATTCCTGCCATAATTGATAGATACGGGTGGACGCTGCTCCCGAATGACAGACACACTGACAGGCGACCACAGACTATTAGGGTTTATTAAGCGACATCTAATGCCTGTCACTGCTGTTGGTTTTTTCCCTTTCTCCGTGAACGAATATATGTGTTGGGTCTGCGGTTTTTTCCATTTCATTTTTGTATTTGATGGCAAATATTTATTTATGCATTAAAAACGAGACAGCGGGAGAGAGAGAGAGGGTCAAAATCAGACCAGAGCCATCAGAGCCGTTGGGAAAAATATTATTGCAATAGTGAAACCAAATATCGGTCGCCATGTTTATTTGAGGCATAATTAAATGCTGCACAAGCTGCGGAAAAGCTCACATATCAAATATTTACTGACAACTGTGGAAAAACCTGAAAAGCAGAAACCCCGCAATAACCGAGTTATAATTCAAAAATTGTTTAGATATTATTCACTGGCACTGGTCCATGATTTTTGTTGCATTTGCCCAAAAAGCGCATTTAATTAAGTCTCTGGGACGGATCTAATGCGGTTCAGAGGACTCTGAGCCGTATTAAATTCAACAGCCAGTAAACTGAAGGCAAACAACAAGAGAAGTTGACCCAAAAGGTGCCTTTGCCAAAGTCATCTATAGGCAAATATTTACATGCATATGAGATGAATCTCCACAGCATCTACCACAGCACACACACACACACACACACCTTTCCCTTTCCTTTCCCTTCTATTACTTTTCATTGAATTTTCTTTGGCTTCGCCTCAAAGTATGCTGCATGCAGTTTTCTGCACTGCACTTGGCCGAAAACGAAAACGAATTTGCCAAAAGTCATTTTTCTTCTGCCATCCTCCTCCACCCTCTCGTCTCGGCTTTTCGGTCCTAAAATAAAATTTTCCCTTGACTTATTGAGATTGAGTGAACAGACCAGGCGACAGGCAAGCCACTCTTCCACCTGCCTCTTGCTGCTGCTCTCCCTTTGGCTCTGGGGCGTGGCCAAATTGGATTTGCCACGTTACATGACGTCAACATTCACAATGTACACAAACTCGGGAGAGAACTTCCCACTTTCCGTCATCAGAAAAAAGGGTGAGGGTCACAGGGCGGCACACAGAGAAGAGAGAGAGAGAGAGAGCGAGAAAGAGATATGCAAATTTCTTGTTGTTAAGGCTCTGCTGGAGTTGCTTTATATATTTCCGATCAGCCTAACAGTATCCTTCTCAAGGTTGACCCTTCAATTTGGTTTCCATTTGAAGGGACATCGTAACATTCCAACACATATATGAAATATCATCTACAATTACTGGTACTGGTACGGGTACGGGTACGGGTATTGGTCCGTTGTCTTGGTCGATTCCCAGCCCAATTAGCAGTCCCACACACGAGTCAGGGAGTCGGGGAGTTGGGAGATGGAATGGCACACAAAGCGACTCGCATAATTGCTGCCTTCCGGCCTTTGAAAACTCATTTCCTGTTAGCCTCAGCCACGTCAAGGACTTTGGCTTGAGCCGATGATACACTGCGGGGAAATACGCCAAAAAGATGGCTGAAATTATTTGAAATTGGTTGGAAATGAATGAGAATTTAAGGCAATTTAAAATAAAAGATTAGAAAATGGACAGAAAATCCCTCTGACTTCTCCCCTTCAATTTTAGAGTATATTCATTCCATCATTATAAACTGTACTCTTCTCTCAGTGCACCTTCGCCTTCCTACCCACACACAGAACTAGAGCTAGAAGTATGCCAATTTGCCCTCAGTCAATATGTCTATGTCGGTGACTATGTGTGGCGTTTGCATGTTTTTTCTAGCATTAATTAACCCTAATTAAGTTCACATTGCCCAGCAAAAGTTCAAGCGAGAAACAAGAGAACGACTAAGGGCCGCAGGCTCTTTAAATATTTCGAGTGAAATGATTAAGCCACTGTTGGGAAACTGTTGGGGAAAACTGGAGCCAGCCGGAAAACTGCCGCCGCATGTGTGGAAAGTTGCTGGCAACAGTTTGCGACATTTAACAGGAATTTACTTTGTGCGGCCCCAATTGGAACTCGTACTCGTAAAATGTAAAATGTTTAATTAAAGTATGCAAAGTTGTGTCAGCTGCCGCCGTCTGTAAATAACTTCCGGATCGTTGGTTGCCCTCGGGCTCTGGGTTGGACTTGGACCCCAAAAAGAATCATCTCCAAATGAGATTTCGTTGCCATCTTGTTAGATAAGTTCTTCGTGTGTTTGTTTGTCTTCTGTATCTCTCTCTCTCTCTGTCTCTCTCTCTCTCTCTGTCTCTGTCGCTCTGTGCGTGTTCCTGTTTCTGTCATGTTGCATGAAATTGATATTTTAATTAATTTTTCGTATACGAGGCAAAAGTTTTCCCCTGCCTGCCCCGTAATGCGCATAACTTTGAAATGACCAACTTTTACCTGGTGCCCCCTTGTGTCGTGTCGTCTAATCTGTGTCTTTATTAACATGTCCCCCAGGGATTCCCCCGCAAGAAAACTTCTGTCGGGTTTTGGTTGATTTTCCATGTATTTTCATTGACTTTGCTGGAGAGTTGACATCGGGGATTCTCTAACGGGCTTTGACGAACTTATGGTGTCATTTGTGTCTGTGCCACCTGTTCGCTGGCGATCCTCACTTGCACTTTGGTCCGCAGGGGCCACACGGGCCACAGCAGGGTCCGCAGCAGGGTCCACAGCAGGGGCCGCAGCACGGGCCGCAGCAAGGGCCACAGCAGGGGCCACAGCATGGTCCACAGCAGGGGCTGCAGCAGGAGCTGCCACAGGGCCCGCAGCAAGGTCCACAGCAGGGTCCACAGCATGGTCCACAGCAGGGGCTGCAACAAGGACCACAAGATGGACCACAGCAGGGGCTACAGCAGGGGCTGCAACAGGGGCTGCAACAGGGTCCACAGCATGGGCTACAGCAGGGTCCACAACATGGTCCACAGCAGGGGCTGCAGCAAGGACCACAGCACGATGGGCCACAGCAAGGTCCACAGCAGTCATTGCAACATGGGCCACAAGGGCCGCACGGGCCACAGCAAGGACTGCAACAGGGTCCACAGCAAGGTCCACAGCAGGGGCTACACATCTTCGATTCGTTAAGCTATAACAAACGAATTATAGCCATCACCTATGCACTTTTAAGCACTCACCTTTGACCCGTTAGAGAAATTTATTCCAGACTTTGAATTTTGACAGTGTGTTTGTGTTAATGCTAGACAACGAATGAACTTACTTCATTCTGTTTTGACAGGAGCTTAAAGGAGAAAGTTCCTTTGGAGAAAAGGTTGCTTTGATCAAATTTTCAGTCATTTTTATATTTAATTTTTGCTCGGGCTTTTATCTGAGTTGGTTCCATGTTAATCAGCAGTTGTCGTGTGGAAATGCAAACTAAGCAACTTTTCGACATCTGCTTTATATTTGGTTGAAAGTTGGAGCTAAAAATTTGGCTGACAAATGGTGGGAGGAGGCAGGAGAAGAAAATGGCATGCGACATCCTTCAGGGCATCATCGCTGCTTTGACAAATCACGAACTGGCGGTGGAGCCTCGCTCTTCCGGACCTCTCTCCACCATCCATCCGGAGGTCCTCTCTGCAGCTGTCGTCGCTGACAATTGAACGGCTTTGATCTTTTCAGCGCTCCTCTACAATTTTTGCGTGTCGATTGCGTTGATTGTGCGTGTGTGTGTGTGTGTGTGTGTGTGTGTGTGTGTGTGTGTGTGTGTGTGTGTGTGCGTTCTGCGTGTGTCGCTCTTCCTATTTGGGGAGGCTCTGGTCGGTGCCCCCAAGCATAGCTGAAGGGTGTTGCATAGACAGTAGGAAGAGCGCGTGCTGTATTTGTCAGAGGACGACAACGAGCCTGGCACTGGCATTGAATGCCAGTGAAACCTTTTGTCAATTACGATGCCGTCGCCTCGCTTCTATTTCCCTTTTTTCCTGCTTGCTTTTCTATTTTTTTGTTGTTGTTGTTGATGGCGTGTTTCCACCATCGAATTCGACATTGCCATGCCTTTGCTGTTGGCCTTGTCAGCAACAGAGCGACTCATGGCAAAAAGGCAAAAAATAGGCATAGATGAAATGCTTGCTGATTTCAGCTATGCATACGCGTTCTCGTATCGTACGCCCGAAACTTCCACCTTTCTGCTGCCTGCCATTGCGCTCCGCTCCGCTCCGTTCCGCTCGGGGTATGTCCCTGTGGCAGGCATCAGAAGCTCTCGCACTCGCACCAATTAAATTGACGTACAAGTTGTCAAACTCGAAATCATTTTACGCTACATTCGTCGTTTTAATTGGAGCACAAATTCGGCCCCGAAATGATTGTCCATGCCCCTCCATGGCTTTGGCGGGGATATGTTGTCGTACCTTTGATAGGATTTTGTCTATCCTGTATCCTGTCGTTGTGTCGTTCATTCATTCATTCCCATTCATGTTGTATCGCTGCCGTATTGGCCATCATTCAATTGTGCATGGACCAAAAGTTTAGCCAGCTTTTGTGTTCAGCGAATTTTTCCAACAAAATTTCCCATGTCTCACCTGAGTGGAGTAACCAGTTTAAACTCCCATTTTTTCTGGCTTTCATTTACATAACTAGACCCCACTTTTTCTCGCAGTTTTTTTCAGGCTCATAGAATCGGTTTTTTCTTCAATTTAAATTGCATTTCCAATTCAATGCGTTTCGGGGTCACCGGCAGCAGCAGCAGTAGCAGCAAATCGCATTGCACCCATCTATCATACTATCTATCCATCAAATTTGGGGGGTTGGGGCCTTAATCCAGAGAATGCCCAAACGGCGAAGAGGAATATCAAACTGTCAGCGACAGGCACAATTATGTCAAAGTCAAAAATTCTGAAACCATTTTCCTCGTCTTCCTCTGGGCCCCCTGAAATTAATTTTATACCGAAAATGTTGTGCAGTCATCGGCCAGAAATAAAGGCTCCAGACCGAGAGGCAGACGGAAAAAAATCAATTGGTTTGAATGGATATGGGTGGATACACTGGGCGAAAACCTAAAGACAGAATTTGAAACCAGAATTTTAATTGGAAACACACAAGAATAAAAGCAGATTTTTCGTTCAGTGTATGACAGCAGAGGGGAGTGCTCCTGGGCTCTGGTCTGCCTTGGTTGGCTTTAGCCGAAATTGCCAGTTAATTGGCAATTCAGCAAATAGCACGCGTTTTAGTGGACCTGGACCTGGACCTTCCGCGTATTGCCAAATCATCGAGTCTGCTCGATGGTCCCTCGTTCTCTGCGGCTGTCGCTTTGTAGGGTGCGGTGTGGCGGGGTGTGGTTGGGAGTGTTGAAGTGGTGGCACCCCCCGCAAACAACAATCAATTTTAATGAACGGCATTCATTAAAAAACTTTGCAGCAGTGCGAAAATCATGATGGCGACGACAACGTCTCTCTCGGCAGCCACTTAAACGTCATTGATTAATTTGAAACCGAAAAACTGACATTTGCCAAACAGACAAATGTGTGTGTGTGTGTGTGTGTGTGCGCTTATGAGTGGCACTGTATCTGTGGGTGGGTATGGGTGGTTGTGGGTGCTTGGTGTGTGTGTTTAAAAGGAAGCCACAGGATGGCCCATCAGTTGCAGGAGTAAAGCAGCCACGGAGGTCACCCACTCGATGTGGCTGTCCTCCTGCTTCTTCATCTGTGCCTGACTTGGCGGTTTTGTGTGCTCCGTAGTGGGGTTTCCTCTTTGCTCGACGAGAACCGTTATACACTCATTTGCCACATTGTCATTAAATGTCGTTAACTTGTTGTTGGTGTTGCTGCTGCTGCCTCTGATGGTTGCATTTGAAAGGGGGCACGAAGCTCGATAAGTGAAGTGAAAGCATTTCGGGGAAATAATTTAGTGACTGATACTGAAGTGAAAACTTGGAATTGCTTAAAGATATATGTATATTTATACCATACCTTAGTGCAGACTTCTTAAAGCCACTGTTAAATGTGCTAAAGAGAGCGAAAAATAACGAATAATTGAGCTGCTAAACGTAATCACTAGTGTAAGCGAGATAGCGCTTGTATGAAGCTGTTCTAAGAGAGCAACTCGCACCGCTTATCTTTAATGGAACTTCTCTCAGAGAGCGCAGTGAAAAGACCGCCTCCAACTGTTCAAGTGCAAGCGAAATATCGTTTCTCTTTGTCAGAGTTGTTCTAAGAGAGTGCAAAGACTCAACTTATCGCAGCTAACTGCATACATACTGTATGTCTCTCTCTGACTGTTGTACTCTGCTGAAAGTGCAAGCTTGTGGAAAGAGAGCTTCCAACTGTTGATCGCTCCCACAAGTGCAAGTTTAATTGCGCTTAGCTTCAAAGCTCTTCTCTGTCCATCCCACTCGCACAATAGCAACGCGTCCGACTATTTCCGTTCTTCTCTCGTCTTCTTTATCCCGCTTGCATTTGTGTAAGAAATACGCGTCCCGAGACTGTCTCTGAGAGTAATTTAAGTACTGACAAAATAAAAGAGCAGCTGCTGTGCTGTTTTGTATACACATAAAATACATTTTGTAGGAGAATTTAAATACCAAATCGAAATAAATGCCACAAAAGTAAAGACTTTTCGCACCCTTAACCATGTAAATTTAAGTTAAATGTTTCCCTGCTGCTTTAATGCCCAATCAACTGTCACACCGAACCGCCCAACCCCACCTAAGCACCCGCATCAATGGCATCCATGTGTACGTGACATGTGCTCGGGCGAAATCGAAGCCCAAAATTGTCATTTCGATTAACAAGAAAACCACTTTTCTCTTACTCGTTTCGCACCATAGCCACTCTCACTCTCAAACTCAAACTCAAACTCAATCTTCTTCTCTCTCTCTGCCCAAATCAATTTCAGCCTCGAACACACAGACGTCCGCAGAGGCCACAGGAGCGCAGGAGACAAGAGCAGCATCAGCATCAGCATCAGCCACCGCCATCAGTTTCGATGGAAGCAGCGACCCATCATCAGCCTCATCCGCATACTCGGCGACCGCATTCTCCAGCCTTGCTCAAGTGTCCTCGCTGCTGCCGGAGGCGGCCGCCCTGTCGGCGACAGCCGCCCTGGTGGAACCATATCTAGATGGCTATGCCACCTCCAATGTGACCACTCAGATCGGTACACACGCGTATCTCCCTTGTCGGGTGAGTGTCTCCCGCTATTCCCCTCTATTCCCCATTTTTCTGGCTAAGATCCAAATAAATTTCATAATTTCTGGTTTATTTTTCCTTTTATTACGAATACGAATATATTACGTTGCGTGTTTCGAAATCGGTTTGGGGTTTCTACATATATTCCACGAGTGTATGTGTATGCGTGCGTGTTTTTATTTGTAATTATTATTATTATGGTGGGCGGCCCTCATCAACGCTTGGAGAGGACCACAACCAGGACCACGGCCAGGACTCTTTCCTAATAGAAAACACATTAAATTTTATTGCGTAAATATTTGTTAGTGGGCGCCGCAGGACCAGAAGGAGGACCACAGCCACGACCAGAAGCAGGACGAGGTGTGACCGCAGCGTGTGTATTTAACGCAAGGCTGAAAAACAAATGCCAAACACAAACGTGGCCAAGACTCTCGGGCGATTTCTCACCCTCTGCCGCCGCATTGTTTGGCCAGGTGTTTAAAGACCCACAGCAATACCTGTCGGGGGCACAGGTCAGAGGTGACCTCAGGCACGCAGCCAGCAAATTGTTTGCTTACAAGTTGTAAATATTTTATTTAGCATAAACGAAAACTGAAAATTAAATTTCAACAAATTAGTTTTATAGCATCGGCTCGGCTCTGCCTTTCGGCTCGACAGAAGTGTCCGTGTGGGTTGGTGTCGTGTATCGGGGTCAACCGGCTTTACGTGACTCTTTTGCCAATGGAAATATTTTACTAATTATTTAGTGGCTTTAAGCTTTGAACTAAGGATTAAAGTGTTGTTTAATCCCTTGGGGGATAGAACAGTGTAAGCTCTTATCAGGGAACAAGTACAGACTTGAATTTCTATTAACCTACGAAAATATAGACTAAAAGAATGAGATAGTTAAGGTTCTGCTTCTCCTCCAGAAGATCTTTTATTGCAGCAGTAAAAAGTGCTGGAAAATCACAACAAAATGAAGAGAGCAAACCAATACGATGTATATATTCCACCTTTCTGCACCAATTAGCTACTCAGACAAATACTCTTTAAGCTGTCCCTCAGTAGATCTTTCACTGTATCTCCGTATTCTCTTTGTGTATCTAATTATTACGCCCCTAGCGATGGAAATTCCCTAGCATAAAACATCAATTTCAGTACACAAACGTGGCAAAATGAAATGAAATAGAAATTCCTGTAGGCAAAGAACAAAAGAGAAGCGAAATTCCTGAAACATTTAATGCATGATGATGAGTATGCTTTCGCTTGGCTGTAATTTTCCAGCCGAGCAATGTTAATTTCTTGTTGTCATGGTCAATTAAGTGCTTGCCACAGAATTTAACAAACGACAGGCTAGACAGATGGTCTCTGTCTCTCTCCATCCACCATCGCTGCCATTGCTGCCATCAGCTTCAGCTACAGTCCGGAAGGGGAATGAAAAAGTATAGGACTTTCCATCCTGTCCGGTGGTGGAATGAAAAGTATAAGGCTCGCATCTCAATTTTCGTCAATTACCCGTCGTTGGCTTTACACTTTAAGCCCCCGTTCGGGATGACACGCCCAGTTTGCTCTTTCTTTCTCTGGCTCACGTTGCTCTCCATTTTCCATTCACCATTCGCCTTTCATTCCATTCTCTGTTCAAATGCTGCATTAAGTGGCACAGTTGAGTGACTCCTCTTAGCCCAGGACGTGGATGTGGACTAGGACTAGGACTAGGACTAGGACATGGACAGCGCACAAGTTGAGCAAAGATTGGTCTTTGGTTCGCTTCTTTTCAAATTGGCCTGGCACTTGTCCTGCTCATTCGATGACATCAGGTGAAGCACATCCTTTTGGGGCAGCAGCAGCAGGCAGGCAGTAAATGGCTTATTTGAAATATTCCAAGCAGCAGCTTATTTGTAATTGTCGAAGCTTAACTTTTGTTCCAGTCAGGAAACAGAGAATGGAATGTGCAATGGCTTTTGGGCTGAAGGTTGGAGTTGGAGGCTGTTTCCTTCCTTCCCAAATTGCCTTAATTTCAAACTCGAAGTTGGAACAATCGATGGCTAAAGAGGTTTCCTCTCTGGGCACATTGATATGTGTCTCCATTTCCATCTGCCAAATGCAATCAAAAGTAATCTAGGAAATGGAATTTTCCACAAAACTAAATTAGTAGTCTGGCACTGGCAGAGGGAGGGACCAGTCTCATTCCCAATTAAATGCGACACATGCATTGGGCGCCTAATGAGACCATTACAACAGAATTACAGGGCGGCGACAGAAACTAAAACATTTAATGGATTCATATATACAAACGCACGTATGTATGTACATACATATGTGCTCATGTATATAGAACACCGATCCAAAGTGTTGAATAGACAAAATCGTTTCAATGCAAATAGGAGAAGCACTCGCAAATGACTCTCCCGCTCGCCCCCTCTCGTATCTATCTGCCTGTGCATCTGCGTGAGGGGTTCTACGAGTATAAATGCATTTTAGATTTACTAACTACGACACATTTCGATAATATCTGAAACATGCGGATGCCTGGTGGCCTCTCAGGGCTCTCCAGGGTCTGTCTGTCTGTCTGTCCATCTGCCTGCCCGCCCTAGAGTCTCATGTTCATTTCGGTATTTAATTACATTTCAATGTAGTTTCTGTGGCCATTGGGGAGGCAGCTATACCGCCCGGATTCTGCCTACATTTTGGTTGCACTAATTTACTCTCCTGCCCCACCCCTGTCTGTGTGGGTAGCTGCACTATGACATTTCTCTTCCACTTGTTGAGCAACAAGCCAGCCCGTTGCCCCCTCCTAATCACTTGAGGGTTGTCAATGTTGTTAATTGAGCGTAGAGTCGGAGTACGAATATAGTATGGCAACTCCATTGATTTAATGGGGGGATTAGATGATGGTTTGTCAAATGGGTTGACTATATTGCAGATGCGAGCATGTATTGCCAGCGGTTCCCATGAAGTAGTCGAAGATGTATCAAAAGTTCTGTAAGATATGCACCGGGATGCTAAATCTGCTTGAAACCATTGCAGGAGTTATGTCTTATAGATCTTATACATCCAACTGAATGCCATTTCCTTTATTGCCAGTATGTAATATATTAATTTAATTTTCTCTCCCTTTGGTTCGCTCTGTTAATTCCTATTCCAATTTATATTTAAATCTCATTTCCTCAATTTCCATGCCATTGACTGATTCTCTTACATTCTCCCCTCCTCTCTGTCTGTCGTTTCAACAGGTCAAACAACTGGGCAACAAATCTGTTTCCTGGATTCGACTGCGCGATGGACACATCTTGACCGTTGACAGGTAATTAACAAAATTCATTTCCCTACATTTGAAATTATAAATCAATTTTCAGTCTGTCGCATGCACAAGGGGGATAGCAGGGGATTGCCCCTGGGGCAACTCACTCTGAGAGTACTATTGTTTTAGCCTGATTGACAGACAGCGCAAGTGTTATGTTATATAATTGTTTACAGAGAAATGGAAATATTTGCGCAATTATTCGTATGCCAAATATCGTAGAATATTTAAGAGATTTGCTGATGGTCAGCCTCTGTTTGAGACAATGCATTGTCTGCATAATCATGATAAATGAACGTCAAACTGGAATGCAAATTAAGCAATTATCATATTTTGTAGCCTCCGAAAATCTACAATTAATGACAAGCAAATGAGATATGATCTATTAAGTACATATATGTATGTATGTTTGGTTGTATTATGATATAAGTAGAGACAATGTCTCATTCTGTAGGATATTTGATGCAAATCTTATTCTGACAGCCACTGCAAAAGGATTAATTAGGTTAGCCTTATTGTTTGCTTGAATACGGACGGCTAACGGACTACTCCTCCTCCTCCTCCTCTTCGTCCAGGAACATAATTTCAGCCATTTGCCACACTTGCAACACATTGTCATCGGACACAGAGCACATGGTCCAGGGACACATGAAGTTGGGATTCCACGACAAGTCGTTGATCCTGGCTGTATGTCCGCCGTGGATAAAGAGCAGCTCTGGCGGTCCATCCTCGGCATCGTCGGGGCATTGTTCGTCGCCAATTTTCGACAAATCCCAGACGTTCAAGCGGCGATCGCTGCTGGCCGAAGCGATGATAGTTTCATTTTCGGGCGACCATTGAATCTGGGTGATCTCGCCCCTGTGCCCCTCAAACGAATGCAATTTCTTGCTCTGATTGCGCAAATCCCACAGGGCAATTGTCTTGTCAGCGGATCCAGTGACCAATGTGAACTGTGAGATGGGATTGAAGCACAGACAATTGACTACGTCCGCATGGGCATCGGTGGTAGACAATGGCTTTGTGGTGTCGCCGTTGCGTATGTCCCAGATCATGAGCTTGCGGTCATCGGCCACGGAACCAAAGATCGAGTCATGCTGATTATGCCAGGCGACATCCTGAACCGGAGCGTGGTGTCCGGTGAAAATGTTCTTGGCATCGATCACGCGTTGTGCCTTGGGCGAGGCATTTATGTCCCAAAAGCAGATGGTTTCATCATCAGAAGCCGACAACAAAGAACCTTAAAAATGGATGCACATTTAACGAAAAGATTTTACCAAGCGGGTTTTGCACTGAGCTGAGCTGGCTTACCCGTCTCTTTGGGATTCCAGGCGAGGCCAAAGCCCTCCTTTGTGTGGCCGCGCAGGCGCAGCTCTGGCACACATTGGCCGGAACTGCCCGGCTTAGTCGGGTGCTTTGTGTAGTCAAACACGAGGACATCGCATTTTGGCGATTTGGTGGCAATAATGCGAGCGTTTTGTGGCATGTAGCGGGCACGGTTCACCTCACCCTCGTGGTTGATGATGACCTCCATCTCGAGTTTGCCAAAACCCGAACCAAAGCCACCGTACTCGCCCTTCTCGCTGTCGTAGTGCGACCTATCAGTCTGCGCCTCCTCGGTGGGTATTGGCACGCTGGCAATCATCAAGTGATTCGGCACGTTGTGCGTTGTGTGTGTGCCCAAAATGAGGCGATGCATCGAGTATTCGCCGCCATCCTGCCTGGTGGCAACCGGCAGCCACTGGGCCGTCAAGGATGGCCACTCCAGCACGTGTGTCACAATCTCATCGTACATAAACGGTGTATTCTTCTTCCAAATTTTGTACTCATCGATGATCACATGATTGTCGTCGTCTTTGGCATTGGCATTGGATTCTGCAGTGGGGAAAAGTCAAGAGATGAACATAAAATTTATGCATTAATTTATGTATTACCATTGTGACTGTAATCCTCCATTTTTCAGACACAATCGGTCGCAAGAACGGCAAATACTTGAGCGGAAAGGCGCGCTAAATTCAACACAAAGCAAAAGACAATAAGTAGCACTTTTGAGGCACTTTTATTATAAGAAATCGCACAATTGGAGCAATTTTGTTCCTGCTTTCTTTGTCGCCTGATGCTAGAGATGGAAGTGTTTGCTGTTGGTGGGCTGTCAAATCAACCGAATATCGATAACAACACGGCAACTTTGAACAGGGTGGCAATGATCAAACATCAGAATATATCGAATTTAAATAGAGGTTACATTGCATTAAAAATGTTTGTGTATTTGTTCCCAAGATGAAACTAACAACCAGATCCCTAAAGCCTTCTAATACAGCTCCCAATCTGCAAGGGGAATTGCACATTTCGTTGCCTGTGTTATTTGTGTAGATTCAATTGAGACGAAAACAATTTACAACAAAATGAATTAAGAGCACAAACTTTTGTGCTCGCTCCTGCAAGCAGCATCAGCAGCAGCAGCATCCGAAGAGCCTTCGCCTTCCTATTCAATTCCAATCTGTGTGTCCAGCAGGAGAGCAGCAGGATACGCCCTCAGCTCAGTGAGAGGAGGAGGATACGGACTAGAGTAGCTCTGCACATCAATGATGCCCTGCCTTGCCTTGCCTTGCCCTGAATGGCTTGTGTATGTGTGGATATGTGAATGTGTCCTTTGCCGTGTTCCGGGTATGACATGCCAAGCGGAAACGCAAGTGTGCAATTTCATTGCACATTTTTTTTTTTTGTTTCTCCTCTCGAAATCCAGTAAAAACTTTACTTCAAGCTGTCTCCGACTCTGGAGCTGGAGCTGGGAGCTGGCTGCATGGCTGCATGGCTTTTCCCTTCTGTTTTAGCCACGTTTGCCTTTTGGGAGCGTATTGGATAAGGTGGGCAAGGCAAACATTTCCAGCTTATTACTTTGATAGAAACGTAAAACCAATGAACCTTTCACATTAGATAAGACGGGGCAGTGGCAGTTGCTGTGGCAGTTGCTGTGGCAGTGTAGTGAATGTCTGTCCCCCGCCAAGTGAGTGAGTGAGTGAGTGTGTCTGAGTGTGTGTGTGTGTGTCTAAGGATGAATGGCTGGGGCTTGAATGAATGACTGGCTGAAGGAAGCAAACATTGGCTGAGAGGGCGAGGGCACAGCCAGTCATTGGAGCATTGAAATTTAGCCGAGATAGTGTCCTTACTGATTGCTTCCTGCAGTGCGGCAGCAGTAGTCCACACACACCCCACTAGTCCAGCATCCAGGGTGCAGTGTCATGGCAGTGTCCACTCCACTTCACTACACTCCCGTCCACACTCCACTCCCCTTCGCGCTTCGGGGCCAAGAGTCCATCTTCATGCATTTGCTGCTTCCGCTGCCGGTTTCAGTGTCTCTGTGTGTTAGTTCTTTCCTGCTCCAATGTCTTCTGTCACATTTATCTAGAAAGTTTTCTTTCTGCACGCTCAAAGAAAACCCCAACTGTTTGTCCTTCGGCTCTGCAGCAGTAGCAGCATCAGCCCCGGCATATCAAACATAATGGGAATAGATTTCAAAAACTTTTAGCCAGAGATGGAGAGCGAGTGAGAGGGTTTCCCAGAGACCGAATGTGTTGTATAATAGCGCAAATGATGTGTTTACACTATCATATAAATGTCACGTGCAATGGCGCCTTTTGTTTGCCCGCTGGACATATGCTTTCCTCAATTTATAGCCCATCCCCGCTGCAATGCCCCCCACTCACACACACAATGAATGCCCTGGCCTGGGCCGGGACAGAAGTGCTTCGGTTAGGAGCACCTTGCGGTGTGGCGGTGTGGGGGTGGGTGGCAGGAGGTTCAGGTAATTACCTTGCAGCCAGGTGTTGCTTGACTACTTTGTTATCTCTTATCTCTGGGTATGCGTGCCACAGACACACTACACACACGCACACACACAGAGAGAGTCTCCCTGTTGCATGTGTGCAGGAGATGCGTTGAGATGAGATGAGCTTCCTTTTAATGGGATTCCCGGAGAGTGGCAACTGGAAGGGACAACTCCCAGCCAAAGGAAATGAAATGAGTTTCTGGTATGCTCTCAAGATTGTGGTTGGTGCCTTGGGGCACAAATCCCTTAAGAGTACCTCTTACGGGGTTTAATTTTGAGATCTGTAAAGCTGCGAATACTTATTAAAGTAGGGGGAAATCTTTTAAATAGATAAAATTCTTACGTAGAAATAATCTGAGAATGATTCCGATCCAAATGCTGTCAAGATAAATAATTTTCTTTGGGGAATATTAAGTTATGTATTTCAGCTTCCCGAAATTCAACGAGAAGGAACGTGTGAGTTGCTTCTGGGGACGCGACTCTACTTATACCCGTACTCAGTCAGCATATACATTTTTGAGCATATAATTATTTAGAATTAAAAAAAAAAAACATTTTACATTTTTTTGCTACATCTGTTATCTACATCTACATATACTATGTATATTCTACATCTAACATGTATATAATACATGTACCATTTAGATTCTACATCTCCTCCGCTAGGGGTTGCTCGCGCACTGAACGCGGCAGAGTGTGCGAGCGAGAAGGAAAATGTGTTGCGTTATTGTTGGCAGGAGTGGGCAGGGGAAGCAACAGAAAATTAATTTCTTCATTCTGGCTATAATTATGATCCGATCTAGTTCAGATTTGGCAATCTGGTAGATATGGGCATTCTCTACGATACTGCGTTTTTAGTTTTATCGTATCTTTAAAATTTTGCCTGCCACAGATTTTCGTCCTTTGTGTGGGCAGAAGGGGGCGGGGCGTATTTCAATACACTTGTAGCAGTGTGATATCACATAAGTCTGGAAACCAAATTTGGTTTCGCTAGCTCTTATAGTCTCTGAGATCCAGGCGCTCATCGAGACGGACAGACGGACGAACGGACAGACAGACATGGCTATATCGACTCGGCTATTGATGCTGATCAAGAATATATATACTTTATGGGGTCGGAAAATGTTCCTTCTCTGCGTTACACACATCCACTTTTACCACAAATCTAATATACCCCTTAACTCTTTTTTGAGTACGGGTATAAAAATCCAAATCTTCTACAATTCCCAGGAATCCAATCTTTTGATTAGGCTCCATTAAACAGTGTATTAACTGTATTGGTTGCATGCAACCCATGTGTCCAAGTGGCTTGCATCTGTGATCTGAAATGCGAGCCCGCACACACACACACACATAGAGTATTATTTTGCAGCAACAATAAATTGCAGATGAAAACTTATGCGGCATCCGGGGGTCACTAGGGTACCAGCTCTTGAGCAACGAGCAGAGAGGAGGAGAAGACCACAGAATGCCACAAAATAAGGACCGACCAAAGGAAAATGCACAAAAAATATGGCAAAGGAGCAAGGAGGAGAAGGAGTTGCAGAAAGGAGGAGCAGCTCGAAGAAGGAGGGAGTTGGAAGTCTTTGCTAAGAAGAAAGTCAAGCGCCACTGGGAGAACTTTAAAATGAAATGAAAATTATAAAGTAACTACAAAATCTTGATAAGAAATACACAGCAACAACGGGTAATGGTTGGTTAGGGGAGGGGCACTAGCTGCTAGTGGTGAGGGTGGGGGTGGGGGTGGGATGCACACAGTTTAGGGGGCGCAAAGGAAATGGCAAAAGTCATAAAATGTCGAGTTTTACGAGTGCAAAACGCAAGGGTCTAATCTGGGGTTTAGCATCAAAACTTGTTAGTGCATGGGGCAGGGGCAGTGCTGGCCAAAAAGATTGCGTCGAGTGGGTTTTAGGGGGCACATAATAAGCAATGTCAACGCATGTGTGTGTGTGTGTGTGTGTGGCAGGGGCAGGAGCAGGGGCTTTCGTTGGGGCTAAACTCTCATTGCATTTTAGCCAAATGACGGAAACATTTTTGCACTTTAGGCAAAGTGCAGAGGGCAATTTTCCCAAAGAGAGTGAGAGAGAGGCTTAAGGGGGTTGCCCCAAGCAGGAAGAAAAATATTGCAACAATGACATTAAACGCAACTTATTGTAGTACTGCTTCCCCCCAAGACTCCCACAACCCCTTCAGCATTTGCATGCTGCCACCGAAACATGCAACTTTGTTGTCAACTCTTCTCCCTGTTGCTTGTTGCCTCTTGTTGCAGGCTGCAGTTGATGTTGCTGTTACTGTTGTTGTTTAAATGCAGCAACTAAATAACTTGGAGTGTCTTTTGAGTGGCCATTAGTAGCGGACTTAGCGAGGGGACTAAGTGGGTCTGCTGTTCCTTCATCCATTGTTCTTTTTTCATTCCATTTCTGTTGAATGCTACGTTTAAGCGAATTCCATTTGAGATAACCAATACGAGAATGGATTTCTTACAGCAACTTTAATCTTAAATTTATATTTAAATATTAATTCTACTTTTCCTTTGGTTTTCCAGGGCGGTCTTCATAGCTGATCAGCGTTTTCTGGCCATCAAACAGCCGGACAAGTACTGGACGCTGCAGATAAAATATGTACAGGCCCGTGATGCTGGGTCCTACGAGTGCCAGGTCTCCACAGAGCCCAAAGTCAGTGCGCGTGTCCAGCTGCAAGTTGTGGGTAAGTAAAGTCACGGCCAAGACCATGAACATGAGCATGAACATGAGCATGAAATATGTATATAAATATGAATAAGTAGTCCGACCGGGGTGTGTGTGGAGTGTGTAATTTTTTGGGTGTCAGTGTGGCAAAGGTCAAGCGGACAGCAGCAGCAGCAGGGGCAGCAAATGCAGAAACTTTTTAGCCTTTATGGCAGCCACAGACATCCAGAGAGGAGGTCACACATGGGGGTCGGAGATCTTTGCATGTTTCATGCGGTTGCTGCATTTCAAATTACTCACTAAATTGCATTCAAATTGTGGCTGCCTGCTGCTTGCGCCTGCTGCCTGCTCTCTGTCCACATTGTCCATTGAAATGCTACAACCAAAAATAAAAAAGGAAATCAAGAAAAAACGAACAAATTTCTTTGCTTGGTCAAGTTTTTTAACGAGAAAACTTTTACGTGCGTTGCTACGGGTCGGTCTGGCTCTCTGTTTTTGGTTTTCCATTTGTTTTGGGTTTTCTGTTAAGGCACCAACCACACGGGGCAAAAACTGTGGGGTGGTGTTGGGTAAAAAGTTAATTAAATTTCATGTTTGCATACCGGAAGAAACACACACACACACACACATTGTAGCCAAAGCCAAATGAACAATGTAAATGGTAGTGTCGAGGCACCAGACCATACGCTGCTTGCATCGGAATGGATTCTGTAATTGATATGGAATCGTGCATCGATATGTTGCAAGTTGCAGCACACACAGACACACAGGGAAACAACCGCATTCAACTTGAGGCTATTACGACATGCTCATCACATGAAAAATCAGTGGAAATATTTTTGGGATTTTCGAACATTTATTTAAAACTAACTATGCCAAATAACTATCTACATATGGATGTATGTACATATATATTTATTTTGTGGCTTATGTTTGTTCTACAGGCAACATTTTTCCTGCTTTTCTACTGGCAAATATTCCTTGGCTCGAAAATTACCCTATTATTTCACATTCAACGACAATTTAGGCACAATTTAGGCCTCAGCCTTGACAGAACAGAATGGGAAAAAGTGTGGAAAGTCAATTTACATTTGGAGCTGACAAATTGAATTTTCTTTTATCCAACTAACACTTTGGTTTTATGTAGACAGGGCAAGGCAAGGCAGAAAAAAAAAGAAAAAGAAAAAAAGAAGGAAACCCAACCACATGCTGAGACGAGGCTGAAAGAGCAAAAAAAAGAGAATACGAGAACTTGGTGGGCAGGATTTTGGGGGCAAGGGCAATAGACTGGATAATGGCGTTGGCGAAAAAGTGATTTTCGCATTTCCGGCTCAGCTAATTTGTATGCTAAACACTCGCATGCCTTTGGCAGGCTATAAGTATATATGGCACCCAACAGGTATCCTCGGAAATAATATCTGTACGAGTTTTCTTTTTGCTGTGGAAATTTTTGTATGCGCGACCACATTTGCGTTAATCTAACGACAAATTTAAGCAGAAAGGATTTCTATTCATGCCCTGACATGGATTTTCCACAATGGTCTTAGCGTACTTCCTATTCACTCAATCTACCTCGTTGTCTCTCTGTTTCTCTGGCTTTCGCTTCACAGATTTTCCCCCCTTCTATCACCGCAACATTTCCGCCATTATTTGCAGTCATTTGGCCTTCAACCATTTCCATGTCCCGCTCCAATCTTTTCTTTTGTTTGTTTGAAGTTGAATTTTGCCCCTGCGTTTGCCTCCTCTCTTGCCCTGTCCCTTTCTTGCTTTCCACTCTTTTGGCCATAACCATTATCGCCAGCACCTCTCATTCACCCCTCTCACTTTCTATCGCTCTCTCAGCACCATTACCCCCCTCTGTGCAGTTTTTGCCTGGATCTATTCAGCCACTCTCTCTCTCTCACTCTCTATGTTTTTTTTTGTCGCGCTGCTTGGCTGATTTTGTGCCTTTGCCATGTAATTTGTATTTATTGCATCGTTTTGTCTGTGCAAACGGCTAAAACTCCCTTTGCATGTTCTCGATTCTCGCTCCTCGTTTCGGCCACCCAAAAACCACCCCCCACCCCCAGCCCATTCCTAAGCCCCTATCCCGTTGCCCCCTTTTTTTTCTGAATGATTTTGATGCCAAGACTTTGGCAATGGCTTTTATGTTGAGGCTTTGGCCTTCCTACCGCCTGCTGCTTGATTTCTGAGCCATAGCCAAAAAGTTGGGGTAATGGTCTCGTAGTTTTCGGTCAATTTGTTATGCCAATGCGTATTTGTGTATGTGTGTGTGCCAGAATGAAACAGATATACAGTGTGTAAAAGAGAGAGTGGGGGAGTGTCGCTATGTTTGCTTTGTTGTTGGTTAAAATGTCAGTTTCTTTGGTTTTGGTTCATTTACTCAAGTTTTTGTGGGTCAGCAGCAGAAGTAGCAGTAGCAGCAGCAGGACAATGGCGCAAAATCCCTGTTAATAGGCCAAAAAGGCAGAACAGATACCATCAAAGTTTAGTTTGCTGAAAACTTTATACAATAATCTTTTAAACTTTAGCAAAGGAACACACAGATTCTTTCTATTTCTGTATTTTACAACCCAAAACAACCAAAAAAACAAAGTAGAATTCACACCCATGGTAGCCCCCGCCACAGCCTGGTGGGTTGGGTGGCCTAAATGAATGAATGAATATATTTTTTTCTGCATCATTGAACGACAAACTTGATTTGGTTTTATGATATTCGTTTTCTGTTCAGCTCATCTCATCTCGTTTTCGGCTCTCGTTTCTGCTCGTTTCTCCCTTTTGGCCTCTGGGTCTCGGGTCTGCTTATTTAATTTGCTGCTAATCTTGTAGCAGCCAAAGCCAATTTTGGGTTTACTTTCTCTCTTTCTTTTCCTTTATTTTTCTGCTTCTTTGGTGGCAAGTTTATCTCACCATCAAAAGTGACAATATTCCCTGTGATGTTTATGCACCTAAAGACGGAAAGACAGACGGGCTGGGACTCCAACTAATTTCCCTAAAAGCATTTCGCCATAAACTCAATTAATTTAAGTTGCTGCAGTTCTCCGCTTGACACTCTTAACCCAAGCCATTGCCATTGCCATTGCCACTTCCGTTTCCACTCCACTTCAGTGTCCCTTTTGTACTTGGGAAATTAGCTAAAAGTGTGGTCAAAAGTTTGAGGTTTTCATCGGTCTCCTCAGCTTTTCTTTTCTATTCACTGGCTCTGAGCTCAGGGTTCTGGGTTCTGGCTGAATGATATCTAAAGTTGTGGGGACAACTGCTCCTCCTCTATCGATGTATGTAGTTAATTAAATGAATTTCCCAACAGCTTCTGTATAATTATCCCCCATTGCATGCCACAATTTACTATAGTTTTTTTCATAGTGTAGCTGCCTCCTGGGGCTGGCTGGGTGCTTGCGTGGGTGATAAAGTAGAGCGTTTGCTAATAACATTGCACTTGCTACTGCTTCTAGTTTTGGTATCCTGTAAACGTGCTCGTGGAGTAAAGAGGATATGTCTGACACAGACGAAAGAAAGCATTTTCGACTCAACAGGGCCAACATCTAGAGCCAAGCTATCCCATAAAGTGCCTAGATCTTTGATATTTAAAAAAATTTCGCTCTGTAATAACTTCCGCCTCATTTTATTCTCAATTTTATGGCACTTCCTAGTTAAGGGTATTCCTTAATCGACTATCGAGCATGCATTTGACATGCCAAACATTTTTTCCCGTGTCGCGCTTCTCCAGTCAAGCAGCTGGAAAACTAACATGCAACAACATGACGATTTTGACAAGCTGACACACTTTGGTGTCAAACCAGAGCATGGCGCGTGTTTCTGCAGCACGCTTCTTACACACAACCAGGGAAATCCACACACACACACACACACACACATAGAACACTGACTAACAGCAGGATATATACATATATACTCCAGAGCATAGTCGGGCATTTTGTGTAAATTCTCGGCGCACTCATTTTGCACACATTTTTGTGTAACAGCAGTGAAAACTCGGCGTATACGTGATTTTGTCAAATTTCAAAGCTCACGTCTACCCATACGCGCGCTTTGCCCAAGCAAATGAAGACGCCGTCCGCCCGGCCCAGCCTCGAGAGTGTGTGCGGCGGAGCGGAGCGGGGCTCGCTCGGAGGCGTTCAGGTCGTGTGAAAATATATGCGCCAACATTTCTGTTCGTTTCTGTGCGCTTTTTTATGCGCCCCAGAGCCCGGGCCAGAGCCCTAGTCTCTTTTTCTACTTTTTGTTTGACACAACTCTTAGTTTGTTATGCATGTGCGTGTCTGTTGGCCAAAAAGGTCCGTCCAGGCATGAGGATAGAGAGAAAAGAGAAAGAGATGGAGAGAGAGAGAGAGAGAGAAAGAGAGACCAAGAATCAGTAAGTGAAAAATTGAAAAGTGGATTTTCTTTGGGTGCCAGATTTACGTGTGCTACGTGACTCCCCAGCTGTTAATTCAATAGATTAGCGCGAATGACACAATTTTAGGACGGGGTGGGGGGCGGGGGCAGCAAGCAGTTTATGCCACAGCCACTGCCACTGTCACTGCCACTGTCACTTCCTCCCCACACACACACAGTTATGCTTATGCTTATGCTCATCATCATCATCATTTCTGTTTCTGTCTCTCATCTTTTTTGTAGTGCCCCGCACGGAGATATTGGGCGAACCAGATCGCTATGTAAAGGCTGGCAGCAATGTCGTCCTACGCTGCATTGTCCGTGGCGCCTTGGAGCCGCCCACCTTCATCATGTGGTACCATGGGGCCGAGCAACTGGCAGCGGACTCGCGACGCCATCGCACGCAATTGGATCCCAATCTGCCGGAGGCCACAGGCGAGGGACAGAGCACGGTGAGTACGAGTAGTCAGTCGTCGTCCTCCCTGCCTGGCAGAATGACTCCCTTGTTGATTTTAATTTAATTACACTCAATTTCAAATGGCTTCTTGGCTGCTGCTGCCACTGCTGATGCTGATGCTGCCACTGCCACGTGTCTGCGTTCGCATTTGAGTCAAGTCCGTGTCTGCAGCATACAAAAAAAATTATAATACTGTTTCATAAAAGTTTCAGTTTTGTCGCATTTCTCTCTAATTGCCTGGCCCATAACTTTCTGACCCCACTACCCCCTGCCAGAACTTAGTTCTGTTCAGTGGACTGCCAAATATTTGGAGTACGTGCGTCCCTGTGCCTCCCAGCTTTTTCTCTTCCTTTTTTTTTTTTTTGCTGGTAGTTTCTTTAACATTTTCGTACTTGAACTTTCTTTTGGACTCTGCAGATTGGCTCATTAATCATCGAGTCGGCCAAGAAGCGCGATACTGGCAATTACACATGTAGCCCATCGAATAGCCCCAGTGCGACCGTAACGTTGAACATAATAAATGGTGAGTCGAGTCCCAGTGAAATATGTGTGTCTGGGAAAAGTCCCTAAAGGAGTGTGTGTCTGTGTGTGCTTTTCTTTACTTTACTTTTTATGTATATTTCCCCAGGTGAATCATCTGCCTCGGCGGTCACCTCATCGGCAGCCACCACACGGGCCTATGCCCTGAGCATCCTCGCCCTGCTGCTGAGTGTCATCCTCATCGGTGTGGGCCATCGGACATGACATGTCACCGGACAGAGGCCAAACTAAGGAGTGTATCCCAAAAAGAACTCTGCCAATGGAAAAGAAAAACAAACCCAATTTGATAAGCATTAAAAAGCAGAATTAAATGAAAAGAAATGAAATGAAATTAAATCAGATAAATACACATAATAATCGAGTGCATGTTGTAAGCTAGTTGGTTTTATCTACTAACTAATAACTCAATAAACGTACGAATATGAAGGATAAATCCGTAAATCCCTCTTTCGCTCTCCTATCTATCTATCTCTCTACCCCCTCCTACCACATCCCAAACTTTGCAGCTAATTGTAAGTTCTACCAGCTCTAAGCGAAAACTAGTCCGTAAGCCTCTTCCCCCTCCGCCAATCATCCCACTAGTCTTAGGCCTGATTTCTCTCATACATGGAATTATTTTTTTCATTTTTTTTTTGCTGGTTTTGTAGGTTTCGGTTTTTCTTTTGTTTGGTTTACGCATAAATGCATGACCGTAAATATTTATGCGCTTCGATGTGCAATTGCATCGATATCCTAAAACCATTCGGTGTGCAGGAATTTCGGTCATTATTTTTTGGGGCAAAAATTCAAACTCGAATTGCAGTAGCAGTTGCAATGTGGCAACATGCTGCACCTTTCAATTAGGCATACTCACATAGCCATTTCTCTCTCCTTCCTGCTGCATTCTCTGTCTAGATATGGACATTTTTTTGAGTATTTATTATTTTGTAGCAAATACTTCGACACTTGACCTCATTTGCTTTGGCAATAAATTCATAAAAATTCTCAACTCAATGGGCAGATGGAAAGTAAACACCTGAATAGGCCGTCCCGCTCCAATGTTGATAAAATTTCAATATTCATTTAATTTGTATACTTAAAACAAAATAGAAATGGAATTTCTGTTTGATATTTGTGTGACATTTGCAAACAATTTACATGGCGATGAAAATTTATGAAACTCTATTTTATGTGCTCTTATCTCACGAACATGCTCGAAACATGCGCGAGAAAAACAAAACAAAAATTCATAAAATATCAAAATAAATTGCATAAGGACAGAAAACAGAAAACCAAACAAAAAACGAAAATTATAGCAAAAGCGACATAAAATACACAATTTAATTGATAGCGAAACGAAAGTAAATTTATTGGATTGAAGAGGAGACGGAAGAGAAGAGAACAAACTGACTCGCCCGCACTGTATATAACTCTATTGCGAAAATTGTTCGACAGAAATGTAAATTAATTGAAACACAAACCAAACCAGAGACGTATTCCAAATACTAATGAATTGCATTTAAACGATACAGAAAAACCCAAAAAAAAGCCACATACATATATCGTATATCGTATATATATATATATAAATATAAAGATAAATAAATAAAAGCAGAAACATGAAAGGCAAACAGACGGTAGTCAAAGAAATAAATAAAATCAAACAAATAAACGGACAAAATGCAAACATCGTGTGCCCGCAGGAAAAACTGTAGTCTGCCTCACTCGTATTTATTTATCCACTTAGCGTCCTTTTTAATTACACACACACACACACACACAGAGAGACACACAGCACTATCATCCATGGCAGAAAATCCTATAAAAATTCTCGGAAATTAATTAAAGTTGTCTTTGGGTACGCAGGCAGCATAAACTTAATTGCAATTAGGTGCATGCCCCCACACACACACACACACACACACACACACAAACACACACAACGAAATCAAACCAGCATTAATTATGGCTTCAAGGCTGTCACGTCACTGTCAACCTCCTCATCCCAATGACGCCAGGTAGGAAATCAAAGCGCAATCGAACCCCAATAAGACCCCCATTGAACCCACAATCAAAGTCGAACCGCAAGCAGCTGGTGCACCAAGTGAGAACAAAACGAGAAGGAACGTGCGAGTAGCTTCTGGGGACGCGACTCTACGTATACCCGTACTCAGTCAGTATATACATTTTTGAGCATATGATTTTTTAGAATTTTAGAATTAAAAAAAAAAATGTTTACATTTTACATTTTTTTGCTACATCTGTTATCTACATCTACATATATTATGTATATTATACATCTAACATGAAGATTGTACATGTACCATTAAGATTCTACATCTCCTCCGCTAGGGGTTGCTCGCGCACAGAACGCGGCAGAGTGTGCGAGCGAGAAAGAGAATCAGAAGCGTCAGCAGCGCTGGAGAAGGAGAGGGAACCAACAGAAAATTAATTTCTTCATTCTGGCTATAATTATGATCCGATCTGATTTAGATTCGGCAATCTGGTAGATATGGGCATTCTCTACGATACTGCGTTTTTAGTTTTATCGTATCTTTAAAAATGTGCCTGCCACAGATTTTCGTCCTTTGTGGGGGCGGAAGGGGGCGGGGCGAAATTTTGAAATACACTTGTAGCTGTGTGATATCACATGAGTGTGGAAACCAAATTTGGTTGCCCTAGCTCTTATAGTCTCTGAGATCTAGGCGCTCATCGAGACAGACAGACAGACAGACAGACAGACAGACAGACAGACAGACAGACAGACGGACAGACAGACATGGCTCTATCGACTCGGCTATTGATGCTGATCAAGAATATATATACTTTATGGGGTCGGAAAATTTTCCTTCTCTGCGTTACACACATCCACTTTTACCACAAATCTAATATACCCCTTAACTCTTTTTTGAGTACGGGTATAAAAATTGCCCATATCGAAATAAATATCTGCGGTCGCACTTAACGGGTGTCGAAACAATTAACACGTTTGCCTGCGTATCCATCAAATGGCTGCTGCGGTTCGGTAGCCACACTGTGGTTAACCGCCCAACACTTATCCCTCAAACAATTATTTTCGCCCCCCTCACATGAACCGAACGAACAGGGAGCCCCACAGCAGGGAGACAGGGCCATGACATTTTGCTAGCTGTAAGCCCATAGCCGCATAGAGACCATAGTGAGTACTTACCAAACGAAATCAAAATACATTTCTAAGCTCTCCAAGTGTTTTTCATAAGCTCGATTAACGTACTATAAATGGAAAAAAGCATACATACAATACATGTAATTATCAGCAGACCGACCCCCAATCTATTTGTAAATAAATAAATACTCGTGTGTGTATGTGCATTTGGCATTTGCACTCGCCGCCCTAAAAGGGGAAGATTGTGGGTGGGTTATACATTTTAGAGACCGACATAGACACGGTAAAAGAACTCATTATATAGCAAAAGTATAGTCACTAAGTACCAACTAATGCGAAAACCAAATACTTAAACATATTGTAAACGAAACTAAGAAAACAAAAAATATGTGAAACTTTAACTGACAAATTTATTGCATTACATATAATAAAATCATTAAATTAAATACCCTTTTCCATGTCTTTTTTCCTTGGATATAGTTGCATAAATTTCCATAATTTTCCAATTTCGACTGTTTATGGCAAAGCCGCGAACCCCCATCTAGTCACAATTCTTATCGACAGCCAACACCACAACCGACCAAGACCCCGTTAACGCGATCTATTAGTGACTCAACCACCAGTTGACCATTTTGCCGGCCATGGGATCAGCTTCGACGTCGATGGCATGTGATTGACGGCCAGTTTTACGGCATCAGACTTGAACTTTCATGGGGAGATGCCAGGGCGGCTGCATTTGATGGAAGCACTGACACGCCAGTTAGTGTTAGTGCTGCAGCAATTGAATCAGTATCGGAAACTTAGTCCTTCTGGAAAGCTCGCACAGCTGAAATGCTGATCCTTATAGAGGGCATAGCCAAAGTAACAAATGCCCAAAAAAAATCCAATTTTCCATCAGGTCAAGGGCACGTTTTTATTTGTAGCCCAGGACTAAAGAGTGACTAAAAGGATTGAGGGATTGAATGTGCCGAATTTCCATTAGGACAAGCGATGTCTATCAATTGTTTGCCCAGCCACATCCTCTCCTGACCCACTCATTGTGTCTGACGCTTAAGCAAAGGGCGAGGTGAGGGACAGTCGACAATCGAGAGCGCAAAAAAGGGGAATCTCTGCTTTAATTAAATGGAAACGGGCCCACAAGCAATGATGGAGGTAAAGTATAGATTAGGAAAATATCATTCCTTTTTATCTTTTGGGCAAATGAATTGTTTCTGGAGGGCAGTTTCAGGTGGTCTGGTTCCCAAAAGTGAATGCAATATGACTTCCAGTAAGCCCCACTCTAAGTAGCCCCCAGATCTGATGGGACTGTCGAATGCAAAGTAGCTCCAGAGACGCATAATTTTCGCAAAATGAGAGAGAACTAATGAGGGCAGATTGAAAGCTGGCAAAGGAAGTGCCCTGGGAGGATGACCAACTGCAGTTGCATTTCCATTTCAGTTCTCATAACAGGGTCAGACTCCGAGTAGGAAATGCAAAGTGCATTCACATCTTGATTTCATTATTGCAATTTTCAGGGTGCGCCATTCCTGCCTCACTTCCGAGTGCAACGTCATCGCCTCAAGGATCCTTCCCCTCTAATAAGAGCGAGCGAGTGTGTGTGAATGGTGTGCCTCTCTAAGTGTGTGTGTGCCGTACCTTCTATGACGCCTATTCTGGGTGTGCACTCTCTTCACAAGGTAAGCCATTGAAAGGTACCTCAAGGAGCCGGAGAGGATGTGGCCTGGGCATGGGCCTGGGCTAATGCCAAAATCTGTTCATGCCACACTCGTGGCTCATGCCACTGCTGCTGCTCGCTGCAACAAAAACTCCTTTCAGTTTGTGGGTGCAAAAGTTTTTGGGGCTTTCGGAATCAAAGCCAAGCCAAGCGGTCTGAATGAGATTTTGCGCTGGCAAAGGATTATGCTGAAAAGCGATTTTATTACCGAGAAGGATATCTATTCAGGGAGCAGGCTCTGTTGGTCATTTGGCCAACAATTTGCTCCGGCTCTCTGTTGATTTTGCCGAGGCCTTTCTTTCTGCCTCTTTGTTGACCCGTGAATGATGTCTGACTAAGGTCTAAGGTGGAATTCAATTCAATTAGATATCCCATTGGGATGATGGGAAAAACACTCACGGAATATTTATATGAATATTCAACTAATGGCATTCCTCCGCTTTGATGAGGGCCATCCGACCATAAAGCATTGTGCAAAACTTTCACTCAAACATTTTCCAGCGGCTGCAACATATTTTCGAAAATTATGCAAAAGGAAACTGTCTCTTTTTTACGTTTGGGGCCCAAAGACAGAGCCAAAATGAAAGCGGAAGCAGGCAGGACATGAGTAAACAAGGCCCGAGCCGGACCCAAGGTCGCTGGCCCAAAAATTATAAATTTCCGTTTGGAATGAATGAAGTTTCAAAAGTTCTGCATCAATGGCCACAAGGGATTTGTCTTTTGGGCCGCAAAAAGGGTGCCACAGCAGGAGTCGAGTCCCCAACCGGAAGCACCGAAAATGGTGACACCGGACATGAAATAATTCCAATTTTTGGCCATTTCCCCACAGATTGAGCCAAGACTTAGTAGAAAAACCCAGAACCCAGAAAAGAAATGAGTGAATTTAAATGTTTAATAAACTTTCCACCAGCTACGCGAACGTTGTCCCCCTCTTTGGCCATGCCGTGACCAGTTTTTCCCTCTGTCTCTCTCCCTAAGCCATTTCCCGCAAAGCCGCAAACTGCGAAAATGGCGCCTGGGGAGGGCCAGTAGCTGGACGAGGCGTCGCCGTCATTGCTTTACACTTTTCTTCTAGCACTTTTCATTCATTTAATTTTACCCGGTCACCTTTTCGCGTCCCCTTTGCATCTCTCCCTCACCACTCCACGCTTTGCCCATCTGGCACTTGGGTATTTAACGTTTCGCTAATGCCTCCAGCCGCTGCCTTGCTGCGGTGTAAATGGGGCGTGGCATCGTCCCGGGCCAGGCCAAAACCAAGGCGACAGTTGGCGGCCGTTTCCTAATTACAAATCACTGGCGGTTCCCATAGAACGCATAGGGAGAGAGCGGTGAGATGAGTGTGTCGGCCGGAGGAGCAGCGATGGTGCTGGAGGAAACAAGTAAAAGAATATCCCTGCACAGAAATTGCACCAAGCCACCATTCAGCCATACTCCTGCTCGTATCTGCCCCAGTATTCCAGATTTATATACCCTTTTGCTGCGGAGGGCTACATTGCTTCGTCTGCAATGCGGAGGTTTTACTATAGAGCATGTGGATATTCTATTAATGTTTCCATATGCGAAAACTGTTGCATTATTTCTAGTTTCTTTTCCTTACATTTTCAATCGATCTGCAAGTGTATCTCCATCTTCGTTCTCACAACTCGATCTGTATCTTTTCTTGTTTTGTTGCTGCCTTCTTTCGGGAGACTTTCTGGGTCAACAATTATGCAAAATACTGTTATTTTAGGAGCAGACCGTCGCATTTATCTGTCCCTTTTTTGGACTGCTTTGGTCATTGGAGGGGGGGTGTTTGGTACAAAGCAACCCCAAAATGAAGTGGGGGAATGGGAATGGCACAGAGGATGCGGCGCATCCG